ATGCGTGGCAAAGCAGCTACCTCGCTGTGAACTGTTGAAAAGCCAGCCCTTGACACAAGCAGCCGCCTCTCACTGACAAAACGGGGCTGATGATGATAATATCTACCTCACAGGGCTGCTGAGAGAAGCAAATGCAACTGCGTGTGCAGAAGCGCCTTGGGAACTGCACAGAGCCTGCCCAGCATGGTAGCATTGTCATTCCCAAAACTGGATAGTGAGGGGAACGGTGAGCAGGGCAGGCAGAAGCACTGACGTCATCTGGGGGGGTGGGACCAGAGGCCAGCAGGACGGGTGGGCCCAGGACCACAGTGGTCCATGCAGGAAGAGACTGGAGCCAATTCCAGTCCTTGGCAAAATATATAATTGGTGCTCAATAATTATGTGTTGGCCTCATGGACATATGAATGAGCAGAGGCTGAAATCAGCCCAGTTTGCCACCTCCACAGATTTCCGTGATTTTCTGTCACAGACCTTTACTCCCCACCGCTGAGATTATTAGGGGTTCTTGACTTGAGGTCCGTGAATTCCCTCCAGAATTGTACGCAGAATATAGTATGTGTTTGAAAACATACCTTCCTGAGTAAAGGAGTGTTAGCGTTCTGAGCAGAAAAGCTTTCAAAGAAACCCTGCTCTGGCCCTGGCTGGGTAGCTCAGTTGGTTGGAGGATCGTCCTGTATACCAAAAGCTTGAAGCTTTGATGCCTGGTCAGGGCATATACCTAGGCTTCAGGTTCAATCTCCAGTTAGGGGGTGTCGAGGAGGCAACTGATCGAAGTTTCTTCTCTCTCTCTGTCCCTTCCTCTCTTCTCTCTAAAAATCAGTAAGCATATCCTCGGGCAAGGAATAAAAACAACAACCTGCTTTGAAAGGCGGGCACCTACCAGGTGCTCAGTGCATACCCAGTTGGGTTCTTTTGGATCCTAGGACAGCCAGCCACCCTGGGGATTCAAAGACAAATAACAAACAAAAAAGAAAACAGCCTCCACCTTTGTCTCTGAGATGTGCTTACAGGACCCCACCAGCCTGCAGTTTTTCCTGCAAGTTAGTTCCCTGACGTCTTTGATATGCAAAAACCATGATCACACATCATCAGGGGCCTATCTTTTGAGCAGCTGTTCTACAGCGGGGCGGTCTCAGACGGCCATGCACCTCTCTCTCTCATGTCCTACCATGTGCATGTATTCTTTTGAGATTTTTTAAAAATTTAAGTATAGTCGGTATACAAAATCTTATATTGGTTATATTAGCTTCTGGTGTGTAATATAGTGATTCAACATTTTTATACCTTACAATGGGATCACTCCACTTAATCTAGTAATTATCTGCTGCCATGCCTACTTATCACAATATTATTGACTGTATACCCCTTCCCCTCTTCATCCACTCCCCATCCCTTCCCTTCTGATAACCATCCCTTTGTTTTGTTTCTATCCATGTAGATGTGGCAGGTGGGAGTCAGAGCCCAGAGCCCGGGGTTAGTAACTAGACCTCATGATATCTAAACTCAGAACAGTGATCTTTTTGAAAAAAAATCGTGTCTCATGGAAAAAAAATACATGTGCATGAGTATATACATATGTCTATGTCTATGTATGAGTATATGCATGTGTATGTGTACACATGTACACATATGTGTATATGTATTCACCATTTTGTGTGTATACACATACACATGTGCGTGCACACACAAATGTGTGTGTGCACATATGTGTGTGTGTGCGTGTGTGTGTACACGTGTGTGTGCACTGTTTGTTGGAAGAAATCTAGAATATGTAAACAACAAGAAAAATCATTTCTAATTTCACTGTCCTCCAAAGAACTGTTAATACCTGGCTTCTGTTCTCCCCATTAACCTTGTACAGCATTTGTGGAGCAAATGCCACTGTGTGCCTATAACTGTGTGCCAGACACTCACTGCTGCATGCTCTACAGGTACCATCACATGTTAACCACTTGTCTTACATCGGGTCTACTCCACCTTTTTGTATGCACATTTATGCTTTCTTAATTTTTAAGGCCAAAGGGATCATACTGTTTTGTAACCTTGTCTTTCTCCATAGCATTGAAATTTCTTTCCATGTTATTAAATATTCATCTACAGAGTCATTTATAACAGCAGCATGATGTTTTATTGCAGACAAGTTCTGTGCTTCTCAGACTGGGGTGCGTGTACCCCTGAGGGCAAAGCCACAGGATAAATGTAGCATCTCCTCCTGAAGCATAAATTTGATTCAAAGCTTTGGGAGAGAAGAAAAACACATTAGTGTAATACCAAAACAAGTGCATATATACCATAGTATAAAACAAAGAGCACCCATGAATTTTAAAACAAAGCAGCCAAGTTCAAAGTTGTGTGAACTGGTTGTTATTCCCCAAAGACACGAGTCCCTGTCCTTCTAGGATGGCAGGAACATCTGAGAAGCACTGAGTTCTAGTTCAAGACCCTTTTTTTTTTTTTTTTAAAGATAAGGCACCTTTTTTACGGATAAGACCTTTTTTTTAAACAGGGAAAAGGGATTGTCCAAAGTCTGCAGCACCTGTGTTGCAGAGCCCAGCCACGGAACCCCTGGCCCTACCCCTCCCAGCCTTCCATATTTAGCAGTATCCTTCTACTGCTCTTTCCGAGAATGTGGGTAGAGACCTTGCCACTTGAGTAATTAACCCTTTGCTTATCAATAATGGACAGGCTCGGCTTCCTGTGTGATCCATCTGTTAACAGCGGCATTTTCTTTTTACCTTGCTGGCCAGCATCTGAACTGGCCACTCCTCTGGTTAATAACTGTAGCCTTTATGTGCAAAAGGTGGATGCCATCCCCCTCCCCCAGTGGACTCCAGCAGCATGTAGATTTTTCACTTAATACACTGTATTGTAAATGTGTATCCACTGGTCTGTTTTACCCAGGAAACTGGGAATTGTGTAATCATTATTATAATTTGACATTAATCAACCACCCTCTAGATGCCAGGTGCCATGCTGGGTGTTTTATCTATAGTCTTCATAACAGCTCTTCAAAGTGTGTATGATTATACCCATTTATCAGTAAGAACACTGAGTAAAAGATTATCACTCATCCTCATTCACTCATTTAATAAGTGTTTCCTGGAGGCTTACATGCCAGGACTTGTGTTAAATGCTATGGCCAATCATGGTGAACAAAGCCAATACCACTCCTGCCCTTACAGAACTTACAGACAAGTTGGGTAGATGATATTCAACAAATAATTTTACAAACTGTAGTGAGCGTAATGTAGCCCAGAGCCCCTCCAACTGCCTTGGTTTAAACCCACCTTGGCCACTTACTAGCTGGCTGACCTCCTGCACAAGTCTGCTAACCTCTCTGCACCTCATCTTGGTCTTCTGTAAAAAGAGGATAATCGTGGTACCAGCTGCACAGGGGCACTATGAAGAGGGAGTCGGTTAGCAAACGTAAAGATCTCAAAGCAGGGCCTTGCACATTCCAGGTGTGTGGCTGCTGGTGGAGTGGAGAGGCATGGAGTGCCAGGCGCACATGATAGGGCAGGACCTACATCTGTTGGCATCTGACTGAGTTCTATAAGATGAATAGAAGTTAACTTGTCAAAGTGTCGGAGGTGACAGGGGCGAGGAAGCAGAGTGTTGGAGGGATGCCCCAGGCAGAGGAAGCAGCATGTGCAAAGTGCAGAGGGTGGGCTCACCTGAGGAAAGGCATGGCATGTTCCTGGAACACAGCAGGGAGGGACCCATACGGGGGCAGCATCTGAAAGGGAGGAGCCTGTGACAGAAATGCAGCTGTTTCCAGGACCTGGGCTCTGCACCGCACTGTTGATCCGGCCCATGGGAGATGCTTGGTCAGTGTTGCGTGAACAAGCAAGCACGTGGACAAACAACTACATTGGTCTCCCGTGGTCTTGGCCATGGGTCTTCTGTTGTCACCCAACCAGAAAAGGAGTCCATTGCCCATATGCACAGTTATATGTGGACGGCTCCATCCCCACTGTCAAGCGGTACACATCCCTGTTGCTTGCCTTTCTCTCTTTTTGGCAGTAGGCCAACGAAACATACAGGTTTAGATGGGGGCCTTCAACATCCGGGACTCACCCAGGCGGCTGCTGGTGGAATCCCTACACTACAGTCAGGGCCTCACATCTAAGGCAGTGGTGTTCATACTGTTTTGGAAGCAGAACCCTGTCTTGAAATGATCTTAAAGGAAGTCTGCTATGTGGAACGGGAACAAGCAGAGCGTCCACAGTTGAGCCACAGGCACAGGGACTCAGAGCACCTGGTAATACCTAGTGCGCCTGAGGAAACACGAGGGCTCCATAAAGCATGGCGAGGACACCAAGAGTTGAGCCCAACTCTCATTTTCCAGGAGTGGAAACCGAGTCCAGAGAGTGGGCTTCTCTCCCAACATCACACAACTAGGTACAGACGCAGAGCTGAATTCCAGACACTTGATATCGATTTTATAACACCCATATTTTTTTCTCCAGGCCACCATGACCACCCCCACTCCTCCTCAGTCGGGGGCCTCCACATTGGGGAGGGGCTTGAGGCTCTGATCTTGTCACGTGTCCAGCCTCCAGCCCCAGTCAGGGCCCAGAGCACAAGAGTCAAAAACCCGGAGGGCAGGCGTGGGTGGGTTGTTCACATTCATGACCTGGTTGTGCCGTGCCTTTTTTCCTCGCTCTCTCTTTTAATTGAGTTTGAGGTGGTTGTTTTTTGTTTCCTTAAGAAATGGAAAAGAATGAAGCTGCGTAAACACAACGATGTTAACTCCCTGATAAACCTCCTGCCATTTTAACTCTGTTACTGGAGGAATAAAAGAGAAATAATTTGTCCACCCACACTTAGCTGTTTCTGACGAAGGTAGGTGAATATTGCTTTGCTAATCGAGGGTGACTGCTGGAAGTGGAGCCACGCCGACTGATCCTGGATTGAGAGGAGGCCACGGAGCCCCGGAAGGAGCGGCCCGCCGTGGGCCGGCAGGCCTCCCGTCAGCGGCCGCCATCCGCCTTCCGCAGGTCTCCCCCAGCCGGTAGTGATGGAGGCCCTGGACCAGGCCGAAGGACTCACAGACTCTCAGAGAGAAATGCCACCACCACCCCCTCCTTCACCGCCCTCAGAGCCAGCTCAGAAGCCGCCACCTCAAGGCATCGGGAGCCACTCCCTCACTGTCAAGAGCAGCCTGTGCCTGCTAGCCGCCTTCCAGTTCCTGGTAAGGACATTGCAGGCCTCACGAGGGCCTGGAGAGAGTGCAGCCCTCCTCTTCCTCCCCAAGCTGGCTGCCTGGGGATGCAGAGACATGAGGGGCCTTCTTGGCGTCCCTCAGTGACTCCCAGCACTCAGGCTGGCTCCAGGAGAAGGCTGGAGTTCATAGCTAAAACCTCCACAGCTAAGCCCCTCCCACCCTGCCCTCCTTAACCCCAGAAGTAGGACATGGGTCCCCCCACCAAACCTCTGGCCCTGTAGTGCACTCTTGAGGACTTCCTGTCTATGGAGGTATCTCTGGGAAACTTTCCTTTTTATTCATATAGTGGGGGATGGGGGGGGGGGTCTCTGGGAAGGGCTTTCTCTTGGCTTCCATTTAGTCAGCTTTCCTCCAGAGAGAGTCCACGGGCCTTCTTTGGGCACACGGCAGCCGGGCCCTTCCCTCGGCTGTACAGCCTGGACCTCAGGGCCCAGGTTGAGGTGAGCTCTGTGGGGAGGGAAATAGCAGTGAAGAGCCCCAGCTCCGAACTCAGTCCCCTTGTCCCAGCTTGCCTGCGGGATGCTCTGGCTCAGCGGCTATGGCCCCGTCTGGTTGCAGAATGCCACACTCCTGGAACAGCTGGGACCCAGGGTGAGTAAGCTCCGGGACCTCGGGGGAGGAGGGGACAGTTGGGGCCTCCGGTCCCCCCAGCCCCTGCACAGAGCTTCTCTGAGTTCCGAAGGTACTTCCACCCCACTGAAGCTCTTCTCCCTGCTTCCCACCCTGACCTGTTTGTCTGATGTTCCCCAGGCCTGGCTGGACGTCAGGACCTGGGAAGTCCCCAGTCTGCTGCTGGTCTCTGTGTCTGTGCTCCTCGTTACCACCCTGGTAAGGTGCCTCCCGACCTGACCTCAGTGCTCCCCTCTTCCCCTGGCCCCAGGCTGGATCCTCACCCGCTCCCATTAGACGTTCTGGGTAGGGCCGAGGACCAGGAATCTGTCTCCTTCCACCAGTGTGCCCAGCATGGGGTGAGAGCACCTTCAAACCTGATTAGAGTGAGGCAGGGAGAAGGCTCAAGCGGAAACACCCCACACCTACCAAGAAGCCCTCAATCCACAAGAAACTGAAGGGTCGGGGGTGGGATGAGTCAGGGAGGACAGGGCGGGGGTGGAGCCTCCCCTCTGTGTGAGGGGCAGTGCCGTGCAGATGGCTCCCAAGAGGGCAGGGGCAAACCCTTGGGCAGCCCATCAGCGAGGGGGCAGCAGCGTGGTCCAGGGTCCTTGACGCCATATGCCCCCAACTAGGTGTGGCACCTCCTGAGGGCTCCCCCAGAGCCACCCACCCCAGAGCCCCCTGAGGACAGGCGCCAGTCGGTAAGCCGCCAGCCCTCCTTCACCTACTCGGAGTGGATGGAAGAGAAGATCGAGGATGACTTCCTGGACCTGGACCCCGTCCCTGAGACTCCTGTGTTTGACTGCATGATGGACATCAAGCCCGAGGCCGACCCTGCCTCCCTGACCGTCAAGTCCATGGGTCTGCAGGAGAGGTGGGAGGGGTGGAGGAGGGGTGGACTCTGTGGGCCCTGGAGCTCTCAGCCCCCAGTCAGAAGGGCAGGTGCCTGGCTCTAAGCCCCGGGGCCCCGGGCCTAGCTGACCTCCTAGGCTAGCCAGGGTACACGCATGCCCTTTAGGACTGACGCACATAGATCAGAATGCCCTGAGGTGAGTGCTAACAAACACTGTTAATGCACACCCGCAAACTGACACACACAAGTGTATACATGAGCACACTCGCACATACAGTCCTGTGCTCAAGCAAGTTTGGGTAGGTTTCTTTACTGCAGGACTTGTCAGGGCTTTTAATAACCCGTGTTCGTTGGAAGTCACAAGGGAGTAGGGCATGGCATTTCTCAAAGTCACTTAATTACAGATCATGCTTTGGGAGGTGTCGACGCCCTCTTTTCAGAGATGAGCTGGGTAAGCCAGATCACGCCAGCTGTGAGTTCCCCACACCATGTCGCGGACAGAGCACTGAGTGGGGAGTCAGGAAACCTAGCTTTTGTTTCAGCTCTGCTGCCCCCTTACTGCGCGAGCTTAGACAATTCTTGTCCTCTCGCTGGGACTCAGTTTCTCTCTGTATATGAGGAGGGCCCTCCCTGATCTGGGCCTTTAGACAATGAATGCAGTAGAGAGTGTCCAGGGCAGACATCCTTGTCCCCCTGTGCTGCCCTTGGAACTCCCTCTTTTCCCGACAGCTGAGGGTCCCGACCTCTCCTGGATGAGATGTCCTTGACTCCTTGGCAGCCTCTTCCCAGACTGCCGGGCCCAGGACCAGAGGGCCAAGCCCTGCTTCTCTGATCTAGGCAGGTCCCCTCTCTGGGGGAGCTTCCCCGGGGTCACAGGGAAGGGCTGTGTCGAGGTTGCCTCCGATGGAAGCTTTGGAACTGGTTACTCCCACTCAGCTACTCCACCGCAGGAGGCGGGAGTCAGACCTAAGCCTTGGGGCTGAGACCTGTGCTCCTTATGTCAGAAGTGCGATCACACCCCCTCTCCCCTTCTGGGGCCCACTCTGTCCCCACCCCTGACCTCTCTGTCCTTCATCTTTCCGCTCCAAGGCCCCCAGCCGATGTCTCTTCCTGCCCCTGAGACTCACTCCCCTTTTCTCGGTCCTTCCAGGAGGGGCTCTAACGTCTCCCTGACCCTGGACATGTGCACCCCTGGCTGCAACGAGGAGGGCTTCGGCTACCTGATGTCCCCGCGTGAGGAGTCAGCCCGAGAGTACCTGCTCAGCGCCTCCCGCGTCCTGCAGGCCGAGGAACTCCACGAAAAGGCCCTGGACCCCTTCCTGCTGCAGGCAGAGTTCTTTGTGAGTCCCCTGAGCCAGCTGTGTCACCATGAGCCACCCCCTCTGCTCACGCCACCTACCCAGCGAGGCAGTGGAGGCGGGTGCCCAGAATTCAGCCTCTGATAGATGAACATCATTTCGTTGTCACCTCTCCTACTGCCTTGGGCAAGCTGCTTCCCCTCTGGGCCTCCGTTTCCTCATCTGGAAAATGGGGATGGAAACAATGGGGATGTCGCCAGGATTAAAGAGAACACTAAGGTGTGCAGAGTGCCCGTCCCGGCGATTGGTGTCCAGTGGCGTTCCCACATCTCAGTCCTGTGCTTGGAAAGCCCTAGAAGGCCTTCTCTCCTAGCTGCTGCTTTCTCATCCTCCTCCTGCCCGACATCACCAAGCACAGTTCATCCCCCTTTGAAATCTCTCCACTGCCATGGCTGTAGCTTAGGGTGGTCCTGGTCATCTCCCCTCTAGACTTCTGCAACAGCCTCCAGCTGGACTTTGAGGGACCTAGTAAATGACGCCCCATTTTTACCTGCCTGCACAGTGAGCCAGTTAAGAGCTAAGATCTAGGAGACCACAATATCATTTTTCCTTTTGTTGATAGAGACCAGGTTTAAAATTAAGCTTAGGTATGCAGCAGTAGTGAGCTTCCTAAGACCGACTCCCGAAATTAAACTTGCTACCCAGCCCAGGATGTCCTGACACATCCTGGGCCCCGCAGGGTGTCCTTGTAATTCTTTCTTGGCAGGAGGGGCCATGAGTATTTGAGGAGAGTCCCTCCTGGAAGAAGCAAAAGGGACAGAGAACCCATGTGCCTCCCTCACAACTCCCTTCGTCCCAGGCCACCCTGCTCCCTGTCTGGACCAGATGGCTGTCTGAGACGACCTCCGTCACACTGTGACCCATGGCTCCAGATTCTGCAGAGCTTGGCATGGCCTACATTACCTGAGTTGGACTAGCCCCAGCCCCCTGTCCTAGCCGTATGCCCCCCAGCCCCTGTAGGGACCGTCCGCTTCAAACCAAGCCAGCGCCTCACCCCCACCCCTGTGTTTTTCTCTTCCCAGGCCTTTTCACACACCAGCCCCCGCCCTCGATGCTCTGAGAGCCTCCCTGGACCACCCCAGCCCCTGCTCCTGCCCCAAGTCCCCACCACCGTCACCTCCCCTTAAGAAAGGACTTGTGTCCTCTGTCCTTTCCTGTACATTAGATCATTGTTGATTTTGCCCAGAGAGAAAGGAACACAGCCTACGCACCCACTCCATGGGCGCTTTTGTACCTTTTTTACTCTTTTGAATTTCACAACAACTCTAGAAGATCAGTATTATGACCCTCATTTTACAAAGCACATACTTAGTGGGTCCAAATACAGTGAACACTGTAGAACCATATATGGTCAGATGCTAAACTGTGTGGACAGATAGAAGGGGACAGGCCCTAGGGAGTCATCCCAGAGGGCATGGGGGGAGGTGAGGCTATGGGGGAACCCTAAAGCGTGAGAATGATGTGGAGAATTGAAGGGGTGCTCCCTGCAAGTGGAATGCCATGAGCTCAGACCTGGAGGCCAGATGGAGAAGGGCGTATCAGCAACAGGAAGAGATGGGCATACCTGGAGGCTCTTAAGAGCAGCTGGTGGTACAGAAAGGTCCCAGAAGGCCTCACATTCCAAGCAGAGAAGTCCAGACTTGCAGCTCTTGACACAGGGAGTTGCAAAGACAGCCCTGAGAGCTCAGGAGGCCCCTTTCCTGCTAGAGAATCCGGGAAGGCTTCGTGGAGGAGGTGGCATTTAAGATGGACAGGACATGAAGAGATGAGGATGGAGTGCAACATAGAACGAGCAGCACAACCCAAGGTCCTGATGTGGGGATGTCTAAGTTGGGAACACGGATCAACAAAGCCACTCAGTTTGGCTGCAGTGCAGAGTGTGGAAGATGGTAGTGATTGGCCAGGGTGCTTTTCAAACTCCTGTTCTTGTTCATCAACCATTTATTGAGTATCTATTATGTGCCAGACTGGCCCCCAATAGACAGTAGTAACAATAACATTTATTATACACTCAACATGTGCCAGACACTGTTTAAATGCTGTTTATATGTGCATTAACTCATTTAATAAGTGGCGAATGAATGCGTGCACTCCGGCCAGCCCCTGGACAAGAATTTGGGGGCACAGCAGCCCCTGGATTCGGACGTCTGTGAGGGCCAGCCCACAGCTGCTCACACGCCCATGGTCCTCCTCCTGCAGGAAATCCCCATGAACTTTGTGGATCCGAAAGAGTATGACATCCCCGGGCTGGTGCGGAAAAACCGGTACAAAACCATCCTTCCCAGTGAGTACTGAACTGCCTGGGGGGTTGGGGTGGGCTCACCCTCCCTGGGGGTCCCCTCACCCTGAGGAAGACCTTAACCCCAGAGCTGGGCCTCCAAGGCCACGAGAAAGGATAGAGGGTGGCGATGTCCAGTGAAGGGAACCCCCTCCCCCGCCGTGAGGGCAGAGGTTAGTTCATCCTTCACACAGCACTCTCGGACCCTTGCCCTGACCAGGCGTTGCGCTGGGCTCTGTGGGAACCCAGAGAGAAGGGCCGATAACAGCAGCTCCTCCACAGTGCGGCGATACAGGGTGTTCTCACATCCTTTGTCTCTTTGGAGTGGGCAGGTTTTAAGGACAGGGGGTTAAGGTTCAGAGAAGTTAGCAGTTCATCCACACACACACAGCTAGGAAGCACAGACCCGAGATTCAAACCAGGCCTCCGTGGCCCCAGGACTGGGCTCTTCTGTCTGCCTGGAGTTCGGTCTGTCCAGGCTGCACACCCTCTCGCAGGCCGAGCAGCCCCACGAGGGAGCGAGCCGCCTGTCAGGTGATAAGCGCCCCATCACTCGATGTTCAAGCACAGCCGCGTAGGGATTTTCCCTCTTTGGGGGCGGTTAGACCAGGTGACCTAATGTTTTTCTTTCAGCCCTAGGGTGTCATTTTCAAGTACTGCCATAACTTAAATCAATCCCCTGTCTGTCTGTCACCTTGCTGAGTTCTGGCCCCGGGCCCCAGGGCTAGCTTGGGGCGGGGGGCGGTGACTTGTTGAAAGTAAATCCCCACAAACCTACTCCACTCAGTTTATGAAAGTGACGAGGCTTTTAAAAGCAGTTTTGCCATCAGCATCTTCAACAATATATAAGATGTCATGACTTATTTTTAACTTTTAAAATAGCAACTTGTGGTTGCTATGGTTACGCCGTCTCTAGGTAGTTCCAGTTAAACAAAGCACCATGTAAGGCCAGGATACACTGTTCAGGCAGCTCACCTCTTACCTCCTCTTGCTCCCCCACACCTACGTAGCCCCACCTGGAGAGGGGGGCACAGGTACCCCAGAACCTAGGCCTTTGCTAGTTGCTCAGCGTGGCCACTGAGGGAGGACGGGCGTCAGGCCATGACACGACCGGGGCCTGGGTTGCTGAGAGGCCCCGAGCCACCCTGCGCCTCCAGGCCTCCGAGCCCAGCAGCGATTGTTCTCTGTGACAAGCAAGAAGGGACCCTGTGCCCTCAGAGACTGGGATCAGGAGCAGTGGCAGAAGGCAGGTCAGGCTTCGTAGAGGACCCATCCCAGATCCAGGACACCCTGAGGGTGGTTTTGCATTCATTCTGCTCCTGTTTCCTGAGCCCCCACCCCCAGGGCTGAGAATTCAGACAGGAATGAGACACAGACTCTGTGCACAGGGAGCTCACAGGCTAGTGGGAGAGACAGATGTGTGGACAGTACAGTGCAGAGTGGCCCGTAACCCAGCAGTCAGCGCTGAGAAATTTCTGAGCAGTTTCTGTCCATTTCGTCACTGTGTCCCGAACACCAAGTGCCTGGCGTATCACAGACACTCCGCCTTTCCGAGGGAATGAATGGGGGAGTGAGTGAATGAACGAATGAGCCTCTCTCAGATCTGGCTCTCCCCCTCCATCCTCACTGTAAGTGACTTTTTAGGGGTAGGCGGTAGTTGCCCCGTTTCAGGGGGTGCCGTGTACATAGGCTGCACTGACAATGCCCCCAGGAGTGGTTCTAGGGGACAGGGTGGCCCTCTGACCCCTGACACTTCTAACGTGGATCATGGCAGTCATCTAACTGGTCTGACTCCCATATCCTACCCTCCTGTCCGTCTTCTACCACTGTCACCAAAGTGACGCAAAACCAAAATCCAGTCGCACCTTTCTCCTCCTTAAACACTGTCCCGCCACCCTGTACTGCTCGGGCTTAGGTCAAGCCGGGGGAGCACGGTTTGTAAGGCCCCTTGTCAACGGGTTCCTTTCCAGCTCATCTCTCACCAGCCCCCGCCCTGCCCCATGCACCCTCAGACCTGGCCCAGGTGGCCCCTCCTCCTGGAAGCCAAGGTTACACCCTAGCCAAGTCAGCGGTCCCCTCTCTGTCCCTCAGCCCCAGTGCTCACAAACCACATGCTACTTGTCTTCTTGCCCAGCACTCGGGGGCAGGGACCATGTCTGGTTTATGCAGGAGGGTCCACTTTCAAGCACAGTGCCAGGCACAGAAGCAGTGTCAGCAGGGTCCGTGGGACCATCGCTGTTCCCACAGCGCTCCTTGACCACTCTGGCCGGAGGGGCCAGCACCCACTTCTGGCACCAAACCCGGGCAGGCGCTGCTGACAAGCAGAGGGGAGATGGCCCCTGCAGCAGGCCCTGCTGCTCTCTGCTCCCGGTTCCCCCAGCCCTCCTCTGCTTACCCTCGGCCCCACTTCTGACACCCTTCTAGGCCCTGTCCACAGAGCCACCCCTCCCCCACCCGCTCCCGCCCTCAAATCACCTGCCAGAACCTCAGGCACCGGGGCCGGGGCATACCGCGGCTGGAGGGCAGAAGCTCATGCCTTTTCTCCTGCCGAGTTTGGCATCCTCCTTTTTACCTGTGAACGCGTGGTAGCACTTGTAATGATGGCCATAATAGCAGCAGCAACTTTCTGTCTAGTGTTTTCTGTATTCTGGGCTAAATTACTGGTCTAAGGACTCGGTAACATTTGTCCTTTAACCTTTGCAAGATTAATCGGGTTATGAGGAAATGGATGTCCCCAGTTTACAGATAAAGCAGCCCACGTTGACACGGCTAGTACGTCAGAGCCAGGACGTGAACCCCGGCTGTCGGGCTCCATGGTGTGGACACGTAGCCACTCCCCTGTACTCTGAGCTGTGCACGCCTGAAGTACTGTTAGTCTAGCCCTCCCTCCACAGGAGAAAAACTGAGGCCAGAGAAGGGGTAAGGCAGTGAGCTGGTGACAAAGCTAGACTACAGCCAGGACCCCAGGCCCCAGCCTGCTTCCGGCCCCGCCCACACGCCGTCTCCATCTCAGTCCCAGCCTTGCAGGCTGACAGAGCAGCCAGTACAGGGAGGCCAGAGCTGCAGCAAAACAGATTCTACTCCAGGAAGAGCAGGATGTTATGAGAATCTATTACTATGGGATATGACATGTGAATGGATTGCAAAGGGAAGAAAAACAAAACAAAACAAACAACCTTTGTGTGCACGTGTCTGCTGCTGAAACCCAGCAGTCTCCTCTCAGATGTGGAAGGCTCTACTCTTATCTCAATATTCTTCCTCAGCTTTCATCCCCTAAATCTTAACAGCCCTTTCTAGTTATGAAGTAATTTTACATAGCACTTTGGCAGCTGTTCTCTCATCTGTCTTCCCAACAATCCTAGGAAGTAGGTATCTTTATCCCCATATTACAGACAGGAAAACTGAGGCTTAGAAAGAGTCATGTGCTTTACAGACGTGCACAGCACGCTGGTGAGAGTACACACTCACACTCTTGTTGCCCCTGCGGTCCGGATGTGTACCCTAAGCTTGCTTCTCTCCCGAACCTGAGACACAGTGAGACAGGGTGGTTTAAGGGACATGGGCAAGGGGCAGGCATTGATGCTACAGAGGCAGAGACCTAGGGCCTTGCCCTCCGCCCGCCTCTTCAGCCTGGGGCCTCACCTGCCTCAGTGGGCCACGGGAAGGGCCACTGTTTTGCTCTGGGCAGGGAAAGGAGGATCTTTGAGTCCCAGAAGAAATGTGGGTGCTCTGAATGGGCCGGACAAGGCGGGCCCTGCCCCATTGGGGATGGCACATGTCCGATCCCAGCCTCATCTGTCTCCCCCACCCCAGACCCTCACAGCAGAGTGTCTCTGACCTCACCGGACCCTGACGACCCTCTGAGTTCCTACATCAACGCCAACTACATCCGGGTATGTAACCCCCACCCCTTCAGCCTCTCCCTGAAAAGGATGCCCACGCTGGTGGGATCCATCCTCTAGGCTTGTTCCTGAGCCAGCGCGGCTGCTGCCAACACCCCCAGGGAGAGCCTGAGTGTGGGGACGGGGCCCCGGGAACACGGCAGCTGACCCTGACAGCCTGGACTGGGTTGGCCGCAGGGCTACGGTGGGGAGGAGAAGGTGTACATCGCCACTCAGGGACCCATCGTCAGCACGGTCGGCGACTTCTGGCGCATGGTGTGGCAGGAGCACTCGCCCATCATTGTCATGATCACCAACATCGAGGAGATGAACGAGGTAGGCACCCCAGTGCCATTACCAGGTGTCTGCTGCTTTGGGCCCTTGCTAAGCCTCTTGTTTGCATATTCTTACAACAATCTTGTGAGGTCAGCAGTGTTCACTCCGCTGTCAAGATGAGGAAGTAGGAGGCTCAGCAAGGTGACGTCACTTGCTCAGGGCCCCACGGATGGTCCGAGGCAGAGCCTGGAGCTGGCCTCTCCGCCCCCTGCCCATGCCCCTGATCTTAACCAGGATGCCCTGCTGCCTCCTCGGCTGCCAGGGCTGACACCTAGAGCAACCCATGTAAGCGAACCCCTAGGAAAGTCCTTCAAAATGGATATTATTAAATTGGGACAACTGTACTAGCATAATCAATAAAATATAACTTATAAAGTGGGTATTACTCCCATTTCCCAGATAAGGAAACTGAGGTTCAGGAAAGGGGAGTAACTTGAAGTTTACGAAGCTGAGATTAGAACCCAGTACTAACTGCAAACCCGCTGCTGTCTGACATCTTCCCGCTGGCCGTGGAGGGGCACTGGGGAGACGGTGGTTGGGGAACTGGAAGTGTACCGCTGCCTGATCTCGGCCCCACAGAAGTGCACCGAGTACTGGCCGGAGGAGCAGGTGGTATATGACGGTGTCGAGATCACCGTGCGGAAAGTCATTCACACTGAGGATTACCGGCTGCGGCTCATCTCCCTCAGGGTGAGGCCTGGGGCCGGGCAGGGCCGGGCAGGGCCGGGCAGGGAGGATGGGGGCAAGGGCTCTAGTGAGGACATCACAGAGAACAGTGTTCCAGAGTCCACTCTAGCTGGAGTCAAGTCCTGTGTCTTCCAGGATTTACTGATGGGACGAGGGAGGGGTGAATGGACTTGGGGGACAGAAGCAGGACCAAGCCTCAGTTGTATTTCTTCCTGTTGGGCTCTCTGTGTGTCTACACTGTCATTCATAATACCTTCAAGGTCTGCTTCAAATGCACCCAGATCCAGGACTATCTGGATAAGGGGTCTCCAGCTGCCTCCAGTGCTGTCCTTGTAAGACCATGGTGACTTTGAGATCCTGGCTAGAAGCATCCCTTTTGCCCCGGCTACTGGCCTTCTGGCCTGTGGTACCCAGTTTGTCCACCAGAGAGCAGGCACGCCTTGCTGCGTCGGTTGCGCGAGGAAGTTGGGATTACAGAAAAAGGGAAAAGAGACACAAAATATGAGCAATACAAAACAGCCCAGAAGAGTGGGGGAAGGCATCCTCCCACCCTGAAGTTGTGCTTCTTCCAAGAGCAGCATGATAGAGGAGACTGTTCCTTTGGAATCAGGAGGATGAGTGCGCTATCTTTTTGAGAAATAAGAGCCATGTTTGGGTAAGGTGGAACCACTCTAATAAACCCCAAAGGCTGGAAGAGGTGAGCCGGGCACCAGGAAATGAGGCACTACCCAGAAAGAGCTTGGGAATTCCAGTGATGCTGGCAGCCACAGGGCCCATTCAAGGCCTGAGAGCCCCTCTGGTCACCTTCCCCCCGCCAACACACACACACACAGTAGCTGATGCAAGGTGGGGTCTCTCTCTCTCTCTCTCTCTCTCTCTCTCTCTCTCTCTCTCTCTCTCTGTAGCGGATGCAAGGTGGGGTGTCAGGGAGCACTCAGCCCCCAGAGGGCAGCCCTCAGAGCCTGAACAGCTCTGAGGTACAGGCCTGGCTGAAGGGCAGAAAGGGCCAGGAGGTGGGGGGCAGAGGCTGTAGGAGCCATAACAGCCAGTAACTCAGGGGCCCGAGGAACCAGCTTCCTGCTTCCCCAGAAAGAGAGGTCAGGGGGAGGCAGGGCTACCTCATCTCAGTACCACAGGGCTGGTTAGGGGAGAACCAAGATAGCTTGGGGTTTGGAGACATTCACTTCATCCCATAAACATTTATAAGCAGCTGCGCTAGTCTGGTTCTGGGTGAAATACTGGGAACGGAGCTGGCTCAAGCCTGTAATCTCCTCAAGGAGCGGGCATAAAACGATAAGCCCTGAGCTAGAGGTAGGTAAGGGCACAGAAGGGCACTCTGCCAGCGAGGTGCTCCCTGTGTCCTCGTCCCTTTGTTCTTTCTGAGGGCTTCCTGGAAGTCAGGATGCTGAATGGAGCCTTGAAGGATGAGTAAGAGTTGAACAAGGGGCAAATTGTTTTGTTCTTTTTTTTCCTCTGCATTCCATGCAGAGAAAAAAGTAAGGGCATGGAAGATAGAACATCTGTGTGCGTGCGTGTAGCAGAGGGTTTATCTACAAAGCATTCGGGAGCATCAAGCACCAGTACACAGGGGCAAGAAACAGGCCTGGAAGGGTTGACCCTGCAAAGCATGTGGTGTTTGCCAGGCTAAAGACTGAGGGGAGTGGGTTTTGTTCAGAGAGCAAGGCGAACCGTGGGAGGGGTTCCCAGCAGGACAGCAGCATGTGCAGATTTGTACTTGCAGACAGACCTTTTTTTGTTTGTTTTTTTCTTTGTTTAAATTTTTAGAGGAGGGGAGGGGAGGGAAAAGAGAGGGAGAGAAACAACTATGTGTGGTTGCCTCTCACGCACCCCTTATGGGGACCCAGCCCATAACCCAGGCACATGCTCTGACTGGGAATTGAACCAGCGACCCTTTCCTTCGCAGTCTGACACTCAATCCACTGAGCCATACCAGCCAGGGTTCGGCAAACAGACTTTTGGACAGGTGTGGAGATGGGGCAGTCATGGGGAAGCAGGAGGTCTGCAGAGGGAAGAGATGATCACAACCAAAGTGGGAGGCGCGGTCGGGGGTGCTTGGGGCAGGGAGCGGAAGGAAACACCACTTGCTGCGGGTGGACGCAGGCAGGCCAAGCAGGGAGGCAAGAGGAAGGAGCTCTGGTTACGTGGCTGAGGGGTGACTAGGCTGTCTGTTAAGGAACCGGGAGACACGTGTGTCTTGGATGGTGCTGGAATTGCTGGGGCAGAACTGAGGTGAAAACAGATGCTGACCCTGCTGACCAGCCCCCACTACCAGACTGGCTTTGGTTCTCTGTCTGGCGCCGCTCTGCAATGTGGTGTAGACGGCAGAGACCAGAGGTCCCACTCCCTGTATTCTCCCTGCTGTGTTCTTCCTCCTCCCATCCCCTCCCCATCTCTGGGCTGCTTGGTGGGCTCAGAGAGCTCACATGTGTCTGGGGTGGGCCTCTGTCTCCTGGACAGAGTGGGACCGAAGAGCGAGGCCTGAAGCATTACTGGTTTACGTCCTGGCCCGACCAGAAGACCCCAGACCGGGCCCCCCCACTCCTGCATCTGGTGCAGGAAGTGGAGGAGGCTGCCCAGCAGGAGGGGCCCCACTGTGCCCCCATCATCGTCCACTGCAGGTGGGTCCTCCCAGCCACCCACCAGGGCAGGGCAGCCCCCCCCGCTGCCCCGCCCCCTCACCCCACCCATCCCCTCGGCCCTCAGCGCAGGGATTGGGAGGACTGGCTGCTTCATTGCCACCAGCATCTGCTGCCAGCAGCTGCGGCAGGAGGGCATGGTGGACATCCTGAAGACCACGTGCCAGCTCCGTCAGGACAGGTCAGCCCATGGGCAGGGCAGGGGCACGTGGAGAGCTTGAGCCCCGGGGGTCAAAGGGAGAGGCTGTCACATGCTTGGGGCGAGGGGCAGGACACTGGGCATAGACCTGGCGGATGGGGTAGGGAAGACAGGTAGGTAGAGGCTATGGATCGAAACAGCTGGTGGCTGGATAAAGAGGACAGAGAAGCAGCCGGTGACCAGAAGTGCAGGGGCTGAGTGGTGGGACATGTCATTTCTGTCCCTGCTCTCTATGCCAGAGCTGGGAGGGACAAGGAGGAACAGAGGGGAGCGGCTGGCTAGGGGTGGCCTCTCCAAACTGCGCAAAGACAAGACCCCTCACAAATGATCAGCACTCCACGGGCTTGGGGGGCACCCTCCCGCAGCCCATCCCGCAACGACCCATCCCGGACACTGTGCATCTCTGCCGGGCAGGGGCGGCATGATCCAGACGTGCGAGCAGTACCAGTTCGTGCACCATGTCATGAGCCTCTATGAGAAGCAGCTGTCCCGCCAGTCCCCAGAGTGACCTCCCTGCTCCCCTGAGGTCCTCTGGGCACCACCGAGCCTGAGTCTGGACCCTCCCCCCAGCCACACCCCCAGGGCCCTGCCCAGGGTCCTGGCCTGCTCCCTGCCCTGCCCCTCCTGCTTCCTTCTCTCCAGCCTGGCCCCTGCCCCCGAACATAGCTCTTCCTACTGTATATACTGGGGGTGGGGCAGGGTGGGGGAGGGATGTGCCAGGCCAGGCCTGGGGCTCCAGGGCCTGACCCACACCACGCAGACCTGGGGCCTCAGTTTTTAACGACGGTTCCATTGCTACTTGATTCAAAATATTTCTGTGCTGCACTCCAAGTGTCCTGCCACAGCGTGTTCTGTCTGTCCATCCATCTCTGCTGTCTGTACCGGACACTGTGTCTCCTCAGCCTGGGATAGGGGTAATGAGCTCCAGCCCCGAAGTAGCCCAGCCAGAAGGGCCTGGCTCAGGCCCCCACCCCACTCCTTCCAAGTGGCAGATCGCATTTTGCCCCCAGTTATTGGGACCAGGGAGGGGAGAAGGGTCAGAGGACCTGGAAGCCAGGCATGAGGAGCTCCCGAGTCGGGGGGGGAGAGAACTCAGCTGGGGAAGAGGGCCCTGGGTTGGGGTGGGGGGGCGTCACAGCCTGCATGGCCTCTGGGTGTCAGGTGCCCTCCAGAGGCAGTGACCAGCCTGGGAGGCACTGGGGAGGAAGGGGACAGATGGGCGCTGTAAACCCAGAGGACCTGGACCCTGGTCGGGGTGGGAGGGAGAGGGGGAGCTCCAGGGGCGGGGTGGGGACTCAGCCCCAGATCCGCGTGAAACATTTCTCTGTCACTGTGGGAAGCCTTCCCAGAAGTCTCGCTGTGTGTAGCTCTGTGTGTGTTCCTGTGTCCATGCGTGTGTTGAGAGCCCATCAGCAGGGCGTGCATGACTCTTTGGCAACATGTGTTATCTTGGAGCCACATGTTTTTATTGCTGACTTTAAATATTTATTCCACGGCAGAGAGAGACATTTGGTGTCTTTTTATAATTTGCTCGTGGTCATTGAATAGAGCAATAAACAGAGCATTTTGAGCAAAACTAGTCTCCTGGGTCTGTGTGATTGCCTCTCCTCTCCATTCCCCGCCTCTCTGTACTGGTCTTCCCTTCTTCTTAGTGTGCACACATCTGTGCACACATGCGCGCGCGCACACAACACAGCCGGTCTCCCCAGCACCTCCTTGTGGAGATTGGGAGTCTGAAGGAAATCCAGATCTGCAAAGCCAAAGAAGTCATTAGACAGGATTCTCACACACCCTCACCCCAATCCAGCCCGAAGCCCTGGGACGGCCGGGGAACCTCAAGAACAGGTGTGGGAGGCTTCCCCAGAAGGCAGAGTGGCTGGCAGGGCACCAGTTCTGACAGACAGGCCGGAGAAGCCAAGGCTGGGGCAGGGGGGCTGGGAGCACTCAGGTCCCCCCGCCCGGGCCCCTCCCTGTTGGGCAGCACACTTACTCCGTGTTAGCCCTCCAGCTCCCAACAGCAGTTGCAACGCCGCAATTTCCCTTTTAAGGCCTGGACTGAGAGCAGCCCCTCCCAAGGGGCCTGGAGAATCTGCCCATGGACCCAGATTCTAGACACTCCTGCTAGACAGTCTTGCCCCTGCCCCCAGGGATGCAGTAACAGTAACTGACGCCAAGGCTGGCAGGCAGAGGTCATTTGGGGGCAGGAGGGGCCCAGGGCAGGGCTGCTGATCAGCTGGCAGGTCCTCACAAGTATCAGAACGCAGGGTGGGCTAGCCGAGGGTCTAGCCATGCAGGTGTGCTGCACAGTGAGGAGAGGACAGGGAGCAGCTTCACAGCTGGGATGGAGGTCAGGAGTGGGCGCGCTGCTGTCTGGCCACCCTGCTGCAGCAGGATGGGCCTCTTACCCTTCCACCCAGGTCAGGGACGAGGCTGTAGGAGTGGGCAGGGGAGGAGGGCTGACATTTCCCTCTCCTCCCCCACGGGGGCCCTGTGAGGCTCCATACAGAAAGAAGAGGTGCTCCCTGGATCTCTGCACAATGTCAGACCCCTTTGACCTTCCCGGTGGACTGTGCGTGCACACGCACACAGTACCCTGAGCCCTTCAGCTCAGATGGTTCCCACCCAGCAGCAGTGAGAACAAAACCTCTGCCACCAGGGAATGAGGAAAGCATCCCTGCACCCCCACCCTCAGGCCGCCACCGCCCACGCCCAGCACTTCCTCCAGCTTTAGCGACAGCCTCCCTTCCCCTCACCCCCACCCCCACCCCCACCCCCAAGCCTGTGACAGCTGGGGCAGCTGCAGGACCAGATTAGGGCATTGCCCCCAGGAGCCAGACATTTAAGAAACCAGCAGCCTCCCTGTTAAGGCAAAGGAAGAAGACTGGCCAGTCTACAGCCTCAGCACGAGCCTCACCTCCACGGCTGCGGACACAGCGTTTTGAGTGTTCAGAGAGACTGGTCACACAAAGGTGAGACATCGCTTGTCCCTCAGGAGGGGCAGAGCCTGCACCCTTCTGAGCCCAGAGAGGGACAGCAGGCGCTGGGACAGAGGTGGTCTCAGAACCTAGAGGGGAAACAGGACAGGCGGAGACACATCAAGGTGGGTGGGGGATAAAGTTTAGCCTCGACCCGCCTGACTCGGAACAGGGCTCTGGGGTCCCTGGAAAGGCACTCGGGCGTCAGGAGGCCAGGATTCCAGTCTGAGTGACCTTGGGCAGGTTGTATCTGTCAGACATCAGTTTCCTCATATACAAGGCAGAGGTTTAAAAACTGCCATGCTGGTTGGATCAAAGGTGGTAGGTACATGCATTCATTGGAATACTATGTAGCTGTTAACTAGAATAAGAAAACTTTATGAACTGATGTGGAGAGATCTCCAAGGTGTATGTACAAAGTGGAACAGAAAGGGGCTGAATAGTGTATATAATAGGCCACCTTACATGTAAAAAGGGACGAGGACGAAGCCATTCACATTTTCACGGAGGAGCCTGGAGACCAGTGCTCACCTGCTGGGGGAGGTGGGAGACGGAGGGGCTGGAGAGCAGAAGGGGGCCTCCTCGTAAAGATGTTTATACTGTGTTAATGTTTAACTACGTGATCGAATGACCAGTTTTACAAAAAAGTATAATAAGTAAAAACTCAACCTCTGTCTTTACTTTGTCACAAATGAAAGAGCTGTGGAAGTGAGCTGTCATCTGTCTCAGCATCCCACCGACGCCAGGGGTCCCCAGGGCCCAGGACGAAAATGCAGCTTCTGGGCCAGGCCTGCTGCAGCAGGGCTGAGTCAGGAGGCTCCTCCTCAGGCCTGAGTGCATTTCCTTCTGCTGAAACCACCCTAGTTTCATGTAGCTGTCAGCAGCTCTCCTCAACCCACCAGATAAACCCAAGACCTGCATCCTCTCCACCCAGAATTCAGAAGAGTTTGGGATTATTCAGGGAGGGACAAGCCCATGGGTCCTTGGAACCTGGCTGGGAAAGTGAGCTATAAAGGGAAGCGGGGGGCCAGAGAGAAGAGGCTTGCTGTCCGACTGCTCACCTCCCCTGGGCGCTGCCATTGTCCCTCCTGCCCCGTCCCTTACACACCCACACACGCACACGCATGAACATCTCTGCATCTCCCTCCTACTCCCTCTTCCTTCATGGTCTCGCCCTCTCCCTGTCCTCCCAGGTGAGTGCCCACGTCTGCTGTCACCATGACGACCATTCACCACAAGCAGATGAGGCAGGAGCATGTGTCCATGGAGTTCTCCAGCTCCACCACCCACGTGCAGACCTCGCAGACAACCAAGATTGTGGGAGGCAAGTAGAATGGGGGAGGAGGGGGCAGGAAGGGGCAGCCTTTCTTCCTCCACATCCACTCCCTGGGTGGCCTCAGTCTGTGACTACCCGAGATAACGAGAGCAGATCTATCCCATCCTGTGTTTCTAATCTGTGCTTTGATAAAGCTTTGGCTGCTGGATGTTCACCCATAGGTCCGCTCTCCAGGAAAACAGCTTAGGAAAAATCCATCACGTGGCTGTGTGTGAATGACGGATGAACTCTTAATTACTTGAGATCAGAGCCATGGGTAAACACATGCATCTCCAATAGTTGAATTTCCACACTGAGGGAGTTAGGGAGGTAGCTGCATTGCCTACATGTTAGTAATGCTGACCCTGCTCCACCTCAGAGGTAGAAGACTTCGAGCTGCCAGTGGAGAGAGGATGAACAGATAAGCAAGTGACTTAACCTTCCAGGCGCTCAGCCCCTGGGGACCAGACCTGTGGGAGAGAAAGCTGAGAAACGGTCTCAAAGCAGAACAGATTGTTTTAGTCGTGTCTCTAGAGAAATGTGATTAAAAGATGGCCAAGGGCCAGGATATTGAATATATGTCCTCCCAGTCATTGTCCCTTCCTCAAAGTCCTAGAGACGCTGTCCTTCAAAGTCCTCTGTGCAAAGAGGTCAAAGCTGGATAAACATGTTATATACCAGCCCCTCCTGGTCAGTGAGACAGAGCAAATAGACAACAGATGGGAACTTAAGACCAGAAGTTGCAAATTCAAGTGATCATAGAGTAATTATCAGCACTGGCTGCATGTTAGAGCCATCTTAGTATGGCGGTGAGAGGGAGAGGAATGAAAAAAATAGCAATACCTGAGTCTCACTCAACTGTTAAACTAGGTGTGTGTTTGTTTTTAAAGCTCTCCAGAGGTTCTAATATGCAGCCAGAGTTTGAAACCACTGACCAACAAGGGTCCGGGCAGGGAACATAAATGCGTGAAAAAGATTGAGGTGAATCTGAGAGGACCCACTCCATCTAAAAGGACATATTCACCTCCCTCTGGTTGTTACCATTTGGAAATATGAGAATCCAGGAATCGGAATTTTTTTTGTGAAATCTTACAATTTTTAGATATAGAGCTACTTTTTGTTTAAACATAGTAGAGTGCAAACAAAACACAGGTGCAGGCCGGGTGCCACCTACACACTGCTTGTCCAGGGCCTCTGATCACTATTTAACAGCAGGCCATGGGACTTCTTAACACATTTTTCTCTTCTCAGTCCTTCAGATTGGTGGGATCATAAAGGCAGCTCCTTCACTGGGTTGTTGTAAGAATTAAATAAAATAATCTCTGGAATGTGCTTAGCACATTCTGGACATAAGGAAAGGACTCTATGATTCGCAGTTGTTACTAACTCACTAGCCAACAAGATTTTGTATAGTGTAGTTTATATTGAAAAAACAACTTTTTGTTTCCCAAATATAAAATTATATTACCGCATTGAATATGCTCTTTCAATAATGAGATTCCCAAATTCAGTCCCATTGGAGCGGGATTGCTCCCTGTCCCTGGCTCAGGAATCACTACTCCAAGGCATTGAATGCTGAACCCACAGAAGGGCGGGGAGAAGACCCACAGCAGAGCTCAGCTCAGCTACCAGGCTGCCCAAGCAGGAGCTGGCCAGCCCCTGCTAATGCTACTGGAGAATTTCCAGGAGAGAAGCACAAAAAAATCAAGAAATTCCCAAAGAGACCTGACTGGTGTGGCTCAGTGGGTTGGGCATCCACTCACAAACTGCTAGGTCATTGGTTCGATTCCCAGTCAGGGCACATGCCTGGATCGCAGGCCAGGTCCTTGGTTGGGGGCGAGTGAGCGGCAACCACCAATATTTCTCTCACACATCGATGGTTCTCTCTCTTTCTCCCACTCGTCCCTTCTCTCTAAAAATAAATAAATAAAATTCCCAAAAGAGAAGTCTCCTTAAAAAAAAAAAAAAGGACTCAGGGCCTTGGCCTAAAAATGGTGCTTCACTATTGAGGGGTGGGAGAAACGTTGGCCGCCCCCCACCTCCCGCCGGTGGCTGAAAGTTGCCATACTGCAGTACAATGACCCACCGACTCCAAAGGCCCCCTTTCTTGGCCAAAGCCAATCCTGCTCGTGCTGGCCTAAAGTGCCCCTCGAGAAAAGGCCAGCCCTCCAGTCCCGGCCTGAGCTCTGCCTGGAGTTCATTCTGACCTCTTACCAGCCGCTACAGAGGAAGCTGTGACGAGGAAGTCACCGAGCACTGAAGTGTTCTTCAGTTTGGTGACTCAGAGTTCCAACATCCCTGAAGGCGAGAGTGTCCCCAAGTTTGTGCAGACGCCTCATCCAGGCACCACGCCCGAGGGTGCATTGTCCACACCTCACGTCTCCCCAGCCCCCGGGGTGCTTCCCTTTCTTCCACCAGTGCCCCAGCCACCCCACCAGCACCACCGCCCCTTAATACACAAACACTGGCAGAGCCAGGCCAAGGGCCCCTCGCCCACCTGGGCTTGGGCGAGATCCCTGGGAGGAGGCAGGGAGCAGCCAGAAGGTGCAACCTGGAGGCTAAGAGGTGACCCTGCATCCTGTGGCCACGGCAGGGGATAAAGCTGTGTCCCGAGCACTGGTGCATGAAACCCCAAACCCAACATCTGGAAGAGGGAAAGCGGCATCCCCTCAAGGAGTCCGCCAAGATGTTCTCCGGCAGCATTAACAAGGAGCACGTGCTGAAGGTGCAGGGGCCTGAGCCTGAGATTCAGTTACCCATGGGGGCAGAAGCAGGAACCCTCCCTCTCCCCGGGGCAAGCCACTCGTCTTCTCACCCACCAGCATCACAGTGAGAGCCCAGAGCTGGGAGATAGGAAAAGAGACTGTCATTGCCCCAGTGGAGGGGCAGGATAAGAGAGTCCACTCAGGAGCTGGGTCTTTCTCAGAATGAGCATGGGACCAAAGTTAGGGGCTGTTCAATCCTCCACACACACACCCATCACTCAGCTCCTCCCTCATCTCCCCACATATGCCCTTTTCCCACAAGTCTCCCTATGGTCCCCTCTTCTGTCCCTTACTAATGGCCTGACTCTGATCCAGCTGGAGCCACTCACCACGGATGACTCTGACAACTACAAGTGCATTGCAAGCAATGACCATGCAGCTGCCATCCACACTGTGTCCTTGCTAGTGACAGAGGGCAGGCCAGCCCCCTCCCCTGGCCCTTCTTCCCAAGGACCAAACTCCCCTCTCTGACCCTGTCCCTCTCTCTGTCCTCAGGTCAAGATAAAATGGATTTCAAAAGATGTCGAAGAAGAGGTGAGGCTGGAACAAGGCTTGTCTATCCAGGTGCTGTCTCCCCACCCTCCAGGCTAGGGCTTCCTGAAGGCCTCTCAACAGAGCTCTGATTTAATGGCCCAGGCTCCAAGAATCCAGGGAGCGGGGCGGGGTATCTCAAGGTTAGGAGAGGCTTTCTCCATCTTCGGAGGGAGTTGCTGAGTCCAAGCTTGGCACCCACCTCCTCCCAGGGCCCCCCCGCTCCCAAGAAAAAGCAGAAGAAGGTGACATATGAGGAGGAGATGCTGGAGATTTTGTCCAAGGTACCCAAGAAGGACTTTGAGAAGGTCTGCATGGAGTACGGTGTCACTGACTTCCGGGGGCTGCTCAAGAAGCTCAAAGGGATGAAAAACGTAGAGGTGGAGGTCAGTACTCATCAGGGGAAAGGGGTCTGCAGGATGGGCCTGGGTCTCACCCAAAGTGCTAGTGTCCATGTGTCTCCTGGCCTGCGCGCATACTCAAAGGCATATACTCTGTACAGTGAAAGCAGGAAAGGAACTTAATTTACATCTTCCCTCTCCTCTCTTCGCCACTCCCTAATATACGTGCATGGACTTGGAGTCAGATAGGCTTCAGTTCAGATCCCAGTGCTACTGCCTTAGTAACTTTGTGAATTTGGGCATCTCTCTGAACCTCAGTTTCCTCATCTGCCAAATGAAAATTAGACTTGCCTCTTTCATTTGTTTTTGTGTTGGTATTGTCATTCATTAACTCAACCAACTTGTCATTATTCAGCATCTACATTGGAATTAGAAAGTCTATGTCATGAGCCCAGGTCCATAGTGACTGCCCTGCGAATGATGGTGCTTTTCTCATCCCCCTGTGTATCTGTCGCCCCCTAAATCTGCCAGCTGGTCAGTGGCAGGAGGTGAGGGGAAGCACAGCTATCTAATCAGCTTAGCTGTTCTTCCCCAGACCCTTGAGGGGCTCCTCCAGGACTGGGGACACAGACTGGGCAGGCTTCAGGTGCCCCTGACACTACCATTTTGTTATCACAGTCTCAGGCCATCCAGATTCTGAAGCCCCTGGAAGACATAGAGACCAAGATTGACACCGCAGTGACCTTTGGCTGCATCATGGAGCTGGAGGATCCCAATACCAAGATGACATGGGTCAAGGTGGGGGAGCACCTAGTTGGGGCCCCTCTGGCAATATCATTTCCTCCCTGCACCCTCCCTTTGTAGACCCTCTCATTATCCATCAGCCCTGCCCTCTCTTACATCCCATTGAGAGGATGCCTACTGGCATGATTGAATCTGCCTGGAAGCTGGGCTCTATTCTTAGCTCTTCTACCACTTTGCTGTTTAATTTGAGACCATTGCTTTCCTCTCTCTGTACCTCAGTCTACCCATCTGAAAAGCCTACATTAGATGGCCCTCAAAATCACTGAAGATCTGTGCCTCTAAGAGAAAGTACCTAACGACCTCATGAGTATTAAGAGTTCAGGCCTTGGGGGAGGCAGAGACCCAGTTCTGGGTGTGTTTTAGGATCTTAGAGAGGTAGACATGGCACCTTCCAGCTCAGACTAGCCTTGGGGAATGGGACCTCTGTAAGTCTCCTAAACCACTTCATCAACTTTTCTACCTGGTTCATGAGGCAGGGGAGTGAACCACTGAGGACCCAGTACTCCCTGGGCAAGTACGATGTGAAGCAGGTGGGCACCAAGTACATGCTGGTTACTACCAACGTGAACATGAGCAATGCAGGTGTCTGCACCCTGAATGTGGGCGACAAGCGGATGACTGCAGAGCTCAAAGTGCTGGGTATGAATGTGGGCATCAGGCAGCACCAGGAGGACAAGGTCAGGGTCAAGGGGAAGGAATAGCCAAGGATGGGGTCCATGGGGATATGGAAGAGAGGGCACTGGGGCTCTGCAGGAAAGGACTGCATGGGGCTGGGAGTTCATGGAGCAGAGAGACAAATGCCATAGGCCAACGTGGTGTAGTGGTGAAGAACGCAATCTCTGGAATTAGACTATTGGTACTCAAATCCCAGCTTCTGTAATTTATGAGCTGTATGATTTGGGGTAAGTTACTTAACTTCTCTTTGCCTCAGTTTCCCCAACTGTAAAATGGGGAGTAATAGCATAATCTACCTGCGTGGGAATTGGATGTCTTAATGTGTACACATTGGCTAAAATAGTGCCTGGCACATATCTAAAACTATACAGGTGTAGTTTTAGTTTAAAACTAACTTTTTAAAATTGCTGTTACAGTCACTGGGGAGGAGACCATATAAACCCCATGAGAGAGGACTCCAGGATTCACAAGCAGAATGAAAGGAAGGACACTTTCCCTGACTGTGGGCTACAGGAGGCCAATGACACCTGATTCTCCATGTCCCCTTTATCATCCCACTCCTCAGGAGAGACAAGGTCTGCAGTCCACTGACTCCCCGTCCTACTCTTTGCTGCAGATGAGCCACTGAAGTTTTTGGGAGAGATGAAGCCAGTGGAGGTGATAGAGCACCAGACAGCTGTGTTTGAGATTCGCCTCTCCAAGAAAGTGCCTAACGTTGTGTGGGAGTTCAATGGGAAGGAGCTGAAGAGGGACGAAAAGTATGAAATCACAGTGTCCGAGGATGGTCTGACCCACACACTTAAGATTAAGGATGCCAGACTCAGTGACAGCGGTGAGTTCTCTGCCAAGGTAGGGGACCTGGCACAGAAGGCCCAGCTCACTACTGACTGTGAGTGGTTGAGCCAGTTCTTGAGGGATGAGCTTTATGCCATGGCACCCTCCATGTGGGCAGTCATCCATCCATCTCTCCATCCACCCACCCATCCATCTCCTCTTTGCAAGGCCCTGTGATGGGTACTAGAAAGAGAAAGGGTTTGCCTCTCCACTAACTCCCAGTCTGGTTGGAAAGGCACTTGTGGCAATGTAATTAGAACAGAAGTTCTTAAGCAAGGAGACAAAATACACTGAGGTCTTATTGTCAGCTGGGAAATCATGGGCCAAGAAATTATGAGCCTTTATGGCCCTAATATCATATATTACAGCACATCACTCTTGACCACTCGCATTCTCATAACTCATTTGGAGAATTGCACATGATGGTTGGCACACCAAGAAGTATGTCTCACATGTGAACCACACTTGACACATGTGGCATAGAATTATCATTACTGTGATGGAGGGAGACACAGAAGCTGTAGGAGCCCAAAGAAGAGGCACCCCCTGGCAATGTTAGAAATAATATGATGAGGTGATGGCCAAGCTTTACCAAGAAGAACAAAAAGTCGTTCAGCTTTCAGAGAACGGGGAGGAAGAGAGGACATTCTCAGCAGAGGGAATAGCATGTGTAAAGACCTAGTCACCACAGAGACAGTGCAATTACGACTGGAGTTACAGGGGGGTGTTTATCCCATTTACATATGAGGAAAGTGATACTTCAGTGAACGGATATATTGCACACAGTCAGCCAGAAAGTAAGGGGCAGAGCTGGGACTCCCCCTGCCCCGTACCTCTATGGGTTCAGTGTTGCGTGCAAACACACTCCATGTCTCAAGTCCCTGGGTTTTCTGGGACCAAAAAGAAGAGCAGAGCAGCATGTAGCTGCAGAAAAGGATGTAGGAGGCTAGGTGCAGGTCCAAGTGTTTATCCGTCCGCAGGCATCCCCATCAAGTTTGTGAGCACCCTCAAGAATGTGTACGTGAAAGAGAGGAGCTGGGCGTGCCTTGAGTGTGAGCTGACATCCAAGGATGCGATGCTGCACTGGAAGAAGGATGGGCGGCTGCTGGCGCGTGGCACCAAGTACAGCATGAGCCATGAGTGCAAGCGGGCAGAGCTGATTGTTGAGGATGCACAGCTCAGTGACGGTGGCGAGTACACTGTGGTGGCCATGCAAGATGGGGACCCCACTGAATACTGCAGTACTGCCATGGTCACCGTGGAGGGTACACGCCCATCCTGTCAGTCCCCGCGGACCAACCCCCTGACCCTAACAGTTCCCTATTCTGCACCCCTACTGACTCCAACCCTACCCCAGACCATGATCAATTTCTGCCTCCCCACTGTGACTCCCCAATCTCCCAAATTCTGACCATCTCTGACCTCCCAGGCCAAGAACATCTCTACCTCCTAGGCCAGCGATTTTCAACCAGTGTGCCAGGCAAGTTTTTAAAACATGCACTACCCGACTATTTGGTCAGGGACACTGACCTCTTTTCGCTCAGGTTGTCAAATTTAAAAAAAAGAAAAGAAAATGACAACAGCCAACACAACAATAGCCATCCAGTGTGAATGAATCAATATCACACCTATTTTCTTTTGTCAGATCATCAAAAAAATATGTTTTGGTGTACTGTAGAATTTTAGCAATTAATTTATGTGTCCCATGAAATGAGAAAGGTTGAAAATCGCTGTCTTATACCCCAATCATCCCCATCTCTTGAACTCTACCCCAAATCCCTTGACTTTATCAATCCTTTATTTCCAGCCTTTGATTATCCCCAGCAAATGTGATCATCCCACACCCCTTGACCCTGACCAAGCCCTGCTCCCTAGCCCCCACCATTCCCCACTGACCTTTACCATCCTCGATTCCCAATAACCTCGGGCATCCCACAGACCAGCAAAACCAGAACTCAACATCCCGACTGCACTAACCACCTGTATCCTCTCTGCCCGCTGATCAGAGGACACAGGTGGTTTTCCTGTATCCCCTTTGACTGAGCATCCTAAGTGCCTGCTGACCATTCTGTGATAATCAGCTACCCTCCCATTAGCCATCTCACAGTCTTCCAGGTCACTGTTTCCCAATGCCACTAACTTTTTCCAGAAACTCCTCACCTACTTGCTCCAGTCCCCACACTGACCAATTCCCCAGTCTCCCAATGACCATTTCCAAACCTCTGCTCATCATAAATGATTTTGACAGATATAGCACACCTGCTCCTTCCCAAAGCCCCCTGCTCTGTTTCTCTGCAGAGCATCTGGCCACGGTGAAAAGTGGGATGTCCAACGTGCATGCGGCCACCAGCAGCCCGGCTGGGCTGTGGGTAGTACTGAATGAAGGCGGAGGGTGTGTGGCTGAAGGATGGCAAGGAGGTTGGAGCAGGGGCGGGGGAGGGGAGGGGAGGAGGAAGGGGTTCAGCGAGTCTACACTCTCACTCACGCTCACCCATCACCCCCAGATCATGGACTTGCCAGGCGTGCAAATAGTGAAGCAGGGTGTGGTGCATAAGCTCATCTTCCCCAATATGGGCCCCGAGCATGAGGGCAAGTACACATTCCGGGCCAAGGGCGCAGAGAGCGAAGCCTCGGTATTCATTGCAGGTAGGGTTGCCATCCAGTGGTCCAGTGTAGACAGGACCCAACCACGCCTGCCCCGCCCACATGCTCGTAGCTCCTCCCCCCTCGACTCTTCCCCTATCCCCAAGGGGCCCGTCTTCCCTACCGCCCCTCCCTGCAGATCCTCCTACCATGGACCCCTCGGTACTGGAGACACTCGCTATGCACCTGTGACAGTGAAGGTGGGCCGCGCGGCAAACATCAAGGTGCCCTTCCGGGCAAAGCCACTTCCCAAGGAGACGTGGTACAAGGACGGTATGGAGGTGACAGAGGAGGAATGAGTGTCCATGGAGCACAAGGAAGACCAGGCGCTGCTCACCATTTCCAACTGCGTGCGTAAGGACAGCGGCCTTATCCTGCTCAAGCTCAAGAATGACCATGGCTCAGCCACAGCCACTCTGCACCTTAGCGCACTGGGTGAGGGCAGGACCCTGACTGGGCTGGGCTGAGGGCACCTGCTGCCCAGTGTCCAGGGTAGGAGGCAGACTGGAGACAGAGTTGGAGTTGGGGTTGAAAATGGGATTGGGGTGCGGGCTTCTAGCCAGAAGCCCCACTTCCTACCTGGGCAGCCTTGCGCAAATTAGTTAACCTTCGCAAGCCTCAGTTTCTCTTGTGGAACTGGGTGATTTTTTTAAGTATCTATTTCAAGTGAATAAAGCGCTTAGAGTGTGAAGCACATAATAGACCTTCAAATATTACTTAAGTATTGTTAATGACTTGGAGATGAGGACATGGTTGGACAGATGGTAGCAATGAGGTAAAGGAGAGGTGAGATTTTAGGGATGGAAGTGAGGTTGGTTGGAAAGAGCAATGGGGTTGGAAGTGAAACAGAGTGAGGGAATGTGATACAGCGTTGAGGATAAAATGAGGTTGGAGAAAAAGATGGAATGAGGGTGGGAATGGGATTTGGGATGGGTCTGAACATAAGGTTAAGGGAAGAGATGAGAAACTGGCCTTAGTGAACACATATTGCAACACACACACCATCGCCACCACCTCCTCCTGCATCTCCATCAAGATGTGGGGTGGGAAGGTTTGGATTTCAGTTCAATTTAGCAGCAAGACTTAGCACCTGCTCTGTGTTCTCAGTCCTGAGGACACAGAGGTAAAGTATCCCCAGCAGTCCCTCAGCCCCAAAGGAACAGGAACTGGTAGACATGTAATTATAGCATAAGGCAGACTGTAATACCAGATAACACTGGTGTTCTGGAAGCTCAGAAGAGGGCAAGATGTTGTCTGGAAGGGGACAAGGGGGTATCTGCCAAGGCCCCTCAGGTCTTTAGTCCACCCACTCCTAGGCAGACAGGAGTCTCAGGGGACAAGGATCAAACTTTTGGACAAGTCTTAGAAGGAGATGCAGCGGACACAGGGGAGGGCGAGGGATCCAGAAAGTTCAGAATCCAGCTGTGTTCCAGTCTGGCTAGACCTCTGACCCTTGGCTCCAAAGCCCCATTCTGACTTCGTCTTCTGTCCTCAGACTGTCCCAAGCCTCCCCAGGGCCGAGTGGAGTTCCTGGAGCTGTCCGGTAATTGTGTGCACGTGAAGCGGAAGGCCCCAAAGGACAATGGTGGGCGGCCTCTGAACCAGTTCATAGTGGAACGGAGGGCAGTTGGCAAGAAGTCCTGGATTAAAATAGGTGAAGTGGACGGCAAAATCACCAAGTTCTCCACCGACAAAGTAGAAGACGGAAAAGCCTACCAATTTCACATCGTAGCTGTCAATTCAGAAGGAGGGAGCAACCCCCTGGAGACAGATGAAGTGTATGCAGGAAATCCTGTAGGTCAGTGAGCCCCATACCCAGCGGGGAACTCAGGTGTCAGGATGAGGGCCTTTAGCCAGAGAGGAATGCTGCTGTGTGGGGAATTTAATGGGTTCATTTCTCTAGCCACCCCATGAGACAGATAGGTTCAGGGGTAAGAGCCAAACATCATTTGAGGTGGGAATTCTCAACTTTTCCCAGTCAGATCCCACGCACTGTGTGTATGTCCAAAACTGTGCACAATTCCCAGAACATGACTCCACATGTTTCTCTGTTCCCGAAATCATCCCGATGCCAGGTGAGAGTGATGTTACTTTGGAGATAACCTTGAATCCATCCTAAGTTTTTTTCCAAAGAAAATCCTTAACAACATCTATATCTCAACTATGATTAGTAATTAAGTACTTGCTACACTTCTTCCAACTGATCTCCATGTCCCAATGTGTCAAGACAATACCTTAAGAACTGGGACACTGGGGTGACACAGGTTGGAAGGTTTCAGTTGGTGATTCTCAATCTTGGCCACACATTCGAATCACCTGAAGTCTTTTTTAAAATGCTGGTGCCTGGCCTCCACCCCAGGCCAACTGAATTAAAATATCTAGAGGCAGGACCTAGAAACTAGTTATTGGTGGTGGTTTGTTTCTTTCTTCCCACTTCATATTAATGTGCAACCAGAGTTAAGAATCATGGGTTTTTTTTAAATATGTTTTATTTTCAATTACAGTTAACATACATCATTATATTAGTTTCAGGTGTACATCCCAATGACTGGACATTATACAACTTAATAAGGGATCATCCTGATAAATCTCCAACCCATCTGACACCATACATGGCCATTAGACTATTATTGACTATATTCCTTATGCTGCACTTTACATCCCCGTGACTATTCTGTAACAACCAATTTGTACTTAATCCCTCCACCTTTTTCACACCCCCTACCCCCCCCATGTGGCAACCACCAAAATGTTCTCTGTATCTATGAGTCGGTTTCTGTTCTGCTTGTTTGCTTTGTTTTTTAGATTCAGTTGTTGACAGATATGTATTTATTGCCATTTTATTGTTCATATTTTTTTATCTTCATTTTTTTACTTCCTACTTCATATTAATGTGCAACCAGGGTTAAGAATCACGGGTTTAAGGTTTGCTTGTTTTTTAAGAAGAGAGCCAGAGGTCAGCATGGGGGTTGACCAAAGGTTTATATGCCACTCTCGTAACCTCTGCCCTCTCTCCATCCCCTGCAGAGCCTCCTGGTCTTGCTCCCAGCCTCAAGTGACTGATGTGACCAAAGAGACTGTGAACATCACATGGAATGCCCCCACCCAGGATGGGGGAGCTTCAGTGCTGGGCTACATTGTGGAATGGAGGAAGAAAGGCAGTAACCTGTGGGTGCCAGTCAACAAGGACCCCATCCAGGGTGAGTTCCTAGGGACAGAAGCCCAGGAGGAACTAAGGGAGGTTTTGCTGGATAGACCAGGTACCCCTGCTGCTCCGAATGGACTCCCCCCTAACTCATTTGGAAATTTTAACAGGATCCCACAACCCCATCTTCCATGCCCTCTTACCCTGTGGACCTCCTCGCCCCATGATCCCTCAAATTCCCATTTCAGGCACCAAGTACACAGTGGATGGTCTCCTGGATGATACAGAATATGAATTCCGAGTTATAGCTGTAAATAAGCCGGGCCCTGGACACCCCAGCATGCCATCCAACTCAGTGGTGGCCAAAGACCCTGTCAGTGAGTTTGGGGCTGCCAGGCTACAACACGTAATGGAATTAGCCCATTCATGGTAGAGAGAGAGGATTTCTTCTCTGGGAAAGTCTAGCAGGGCAGTTGAGGTGGTATCAAAGAGTCTTCACTTTCTGGGAGTAGCCAGCCTATTGGAGGAACAGAATGCAGACTCATAAGAAAGCCAGCCAGTCAAGACTGAGAACCAGGTTAAGAGGCAGGTTGGGGGGTAAAAAAAAGTTTTTTTATTAAACTTTGAGTATTTCTGGTATTAGGTGAGGTAGTAGAAGCGTAGTTGAGGATGGAGTAGGGGTGCTTGGTAGATGGTTGGGAGGGTGCTGAGTCTAGGAGTTGAAGTGGGGACAGTGCATGTGAATGGATGTGGTGGAGATAGATGGGGTAAAGGTTAGGGTTTTGAATACAGAGGGATTGGATGTGTCGTCTGTGTTGAATTTCAAGGATACTGACTCCAAGGGTGAAAGTGTTGAGTCAGTGAGAGAACTGAATTAGGAGGTTGCTGAGTGTGCAAGGTCAGGTATTGAGGGGAGGGTGTTACCCGGGGGAGCTGGAGATGGAAATTGTGAAGTTAGGTTTCAGGGCTGCTGAGTGTGGGGACTGGCGTAGGGTTGAATGGAGATGAGTTTGGGGTCTGACTGGATGTGTCTTGCGCCCCAGAGCTCCCAGGCCTGGTGCAGGGCCTGCACGTGTCTGATTCCTCCAACTCTAGCATCTCCCTGGCCTGGCGGGAGCCTGCAGAAGGTGACCCACCCTCCAGCTACATCCTGGAGATGTGGGCTAAAGACACCAAGGAGTGGTCCAAGTGCACAAAGATCCCATCTCGGGCACCTGCTACATGGTGGGAGGCCTCACTGAGAGGCAGAAATACTTCTTCCACATCCGGGCTGTGAATAAGCCTGGGGTTGGGGAGCCTATGAAGCTGGACGAGGGGGTCTGGGACATGCCACCACCAGGTGAGGACACAGAGGGCTGGGGCTGTAGGTCCCTGTACCCTAGCTTCTGAACCTTCCTCTCTGAGACTTCATTCCACAGGGGAAAGTAGGGTCATGCTGTGACCAAGAAAAAGTCATCCATACTTATGGTGCCTGGACAGAGCCAGGGGTGACCTTAGGGGCCTCCCCCCCAACACATACACAAAGTCATTATGTGCCAAATAGCACCCACTGTATGCCAAAGGAGGTGTGAGGGATATAGGACACATAAGACACTGTACCTGCCCTCAAGAGTCTTACATACTAAGAGAGGGAGACAGATGAGGAAAAAAAAGTGTGACGCAGTGATGCAGGACTGTTAGATGTCTGTGTGGCCTGTAACAGTCATGAAGCAGGAGAGGCTGGGAGAGGCTCTGGAGGAAGGCTTAAAACTGAGACTTCTGGAAAGAGAGGTCCATGCCCCAACCTCTCTCTCTCCTCCATCTCAGCTGCACCCAAGTTTGACCACAGTGCCCGGCTGAAGAGTCACATGGTGGTTCATGCAGGGACAGCCCTGTGCATCCCTGCTGCCTTCTCTGTGAGTCATTCCTGCCCCTGGCCCCAAATGCCTACTGTTTAACCAAGATGGCTGCTGTAGCTCTCACAATCCTTGGGTCTTCCTCTGCCCCTTGCCAGATGCCTGACACTAGAGCCTGCCAGGAGACTCCTCAACACTGGGGGTGGCCCTGCCACCAAATACCACCCGTGTGACATCTGGTGCCATCTCCTGTCACTACCAGGGCTCACCACCACCCAATGTGATCTGGCTGAAAGCATCCCCACCAAGGGCAGGGAAGCCATCACCAAGGGCAAAAACCACTCCCAGGTCCTCATCAACAGCACCAAGCGCTCCGACTCAGGCATGTATTGCATCTTGCTCCAGAATGAGTTTGGAGAGGTGCACTATGACATCCATGTATGAGTGGCAGGTATGAGAGCAGGCAGAGGCCTCAGGAAGCATCACTGCGCACAATCCAAAATATAGTTCCCACTGCCTTGAGTTCCTACCACTATAAAGGCATGCCTTAAGGTAGTGACGGCTTCTTTGGCACCTCAAAGACTTCATCAGCCTTGGCCTTAACAGGGGTGGAGTGGGAGGAGGTTGTTTCAGCTTTTTCTCACTGTCCTGAAGCCCCAGGGGCATCGAACTAGGACCAAGCCATTGTTTCAGCTTCTGCAGTCGTGTCTGATGAGCCTCAGGACATATGCAGGGTAGGTCCAATAAAATCGAGTAGAGAATGGGTGACAGGCAAGAGGGACAGATGAAGATAATCCATTAAAAATTGGGGCGGCCTCTTACAGAGGGCTGGAGGCTTTAAATGAAGCCCTAAGTGACGAAGGGATGAACTTCTATTGAACAGTTACTGCTCACCAGGCACTTTACCCAACAATTCTCTGATAGTTATTGTTAGCCCTACTTTTCAAATGAGGAATTGGGTCTCAGAAAAATAAGTCATGTGCCAAGTTCATGGGGCTAGTAAATGGCAAAGCTACACTTCAGAAACAGACCTTTCTGATTCCAAGACACCAGCTACCTAAGACTCAAAGGCCTTGGCAGGTGGCTGGGGTGGGGGCACAGTTCTTGAGGCTCCCCAGGGTGGCTGAGGGCCCCTCTGACCATTTCAGATATTCCACGGCCACCCACAAACCTACAGTTGTTTGAGGAGGTTCCCAACACAGTGACTCTGACAGGGAACCACAGCCCTGACGTGCAGGAGGACGGTGAGGCCCACTGTGTCATCTTGAAACAGGATGCCAGCACTGCCACCTGGTTCACAGCAGCAGAGCACGTCTTCAGCAACAAGTACACAGTGACAGGATTGCTTCCTGGCAGGAAGTACTACTTCCGAGTGTTGGCCCAGAATGAAATCGGTGACAGTGACCAGCTGGACTCCAAGGATACTTGGCTCATCAACAAGGACAACAGTGAGTCAGGGTATTTGGGGGCTCAGGTTACATCTAAGATCTCTGATGCTGGAGATGACACAAGGGTTGCAAGGCGTACCCAGGATTTGAGGTAAAATCAGAACCATTGAGGAGGGAGGGGGAATGTTGGGAAGTTGAGCAGAGAAGTAAAGGTCAGGGAACCTAAGGGGAGAAGATGCCTTTGGGGTATCCTGAGGGGGGGACTAAGGTAGGGGTGGGGAGGTGTCCTTGGGGACTGGGTGGCAGTGTTGGGCTGGAGGAGGGGCAAGGGTGCAGTGCTGAGAGCTGTCCTCTGTGCACAGGACTGAAGAGGGGGAGGACTGGGAAGGGTCTCCCAAGAGCAGAGAGCGTGCATGAAGTCCAGCAACAGTGGAGGGGAGGGGTTAAGGGTAGGGATAGTGTCAGGAAATGTGAAATTCAGGGCTCAATAGGAGAACGCTGAGCCCAGTGGGGCTGGGATGACATCAAGGAAAGCTTGGAGGGGGTTTTAAAAGCAGGATAACAGCTCAGGTCTTGGAAGCTGGCAGCTGGAAAAAAGTCTAGGACTCCAGGGTCTGGAAAAGCATAAAGCCCTGCAGACCTGGCTTAAGGTGTGTGACCCTGAAGTGGCAAGGGGGTAGAAGGGTGGTGGAAGGGAAACTTCAGGAAGGAGTAAAAAGTCAATCCCCAGAGTTGGTGGCATCTGGGAATCTAAACCATGTCATCAGGATTCCATGAGCTGCGTCTCAAGGGTTTCTTTGGCGCTAAGGCAGCCAGTGGTGGGTAGGGACCTGGAGATGTTCACAGCCTCTGCATCCCGTGTGCAGTCGAAGACCTGAGAGCCAAGCTGAAGCCATACCAGCAGAAGGACTGGCGCCACGCACCGCGCTTCCTGACTCCGCTGAAGCCACACATGGTGCTGCAGGGCCAGGACTGCACCATGACCTGTGCCTTCCTTGGGAATCCACGGCCCATGGTAACCCTCTACAAGGGCGACGTTAACATCATGGCCAACTCCAGGTTCTGGTACAACTCCACCAGAGACGTCTGCACAATTGTCCTCCCAACCTGCACGCTCAAGGACAGCAGCGAGTACAGCGTTGCTGGTGGAGAATGAGCTGGGCAAGGACTGTAGCAGCTGCAGGCTCACAGTCTATGGTGAGAGTGCTGTGGACCCAGGCCAGGGTGGGGCCTGGGGGTGGGGTTGGAGGTGGAGGTGGGAGGTAGGTTGCTTCCCTTATAGGGCAGAGGCACAAAATGGCGGTCTTGTGGGTTGTTGATGTTCTTCATTCTTCATATGGCTAGCAAGGTTTTTTACTTAATCTGCCATCAGATGGTGTAAACATTGGCCATAGTTGGTGCTAGTCTCCACCCTCAATGTCATTTGTTACGTGCCTAGCCGCTGCAGACGTCGGAGTTTGCAACCCTTGGTAGGCTTAGACTTGCCTGGAAAAAGACACTGAACAGGCCTAAAACAGACTCATCAATCATAATCTCTCTGGCAGGGTCATGGAAGGAATCTTTATGTTACAAATTTTTGCAATTGATTCAAGATTGAAAACTATTAGTGTAGTATAAGGACAGATGAGAGGCACAAATGAGGAGAGGACTGAAGGGAACTAACTAGTGGAGACCCTCCTTCTGCACATGTGTACCATGTTTCTGCTCACATGTGCACATATAGGGAAATATTTTATTCCTTCCTACAGTCTACTGTCTTCACAGCTACACAGCTGGTAGCGTGAACTCTAAAAGCAAAGCTGACCTGTCCCAATCCCTCTTGCTAAACTCCCTCCCACAATCCTCTCGATAAAATCCCAACCGAGTCTCCTCCCCGACCTCAACTACCTCCCCAGCTTCATCCACCACTCCCAGAACTCTCCATGGCATTCCACTGGTGTCCATGGCCTCCATGGTTACAGACTTTGCTCATCCTGTTATAGATGCCCTTTCCTTGGGGGAAGGACCATGTCCTGTTGCTGTCTCTGAAGTCACGTAAGTGCCTGGCACACTGAGGGGTTGCCTTCAGAGTGGCTGCTGAACTGTGCGACAAAACTAGACCAGACTAGACTAGACTAGGCACAGTGGGAGATATCTAGCTTTCATACCACAGCCGGAGTGATCCCTGACAACTCAATACTGGTTGTGAGCACATGGGCCCAGGGCCTTGGCTTCACCACTGACCAGCCCTATGACCTTGGCAAGCCACTCTGAGCTTATTTTCTCCTCTACTCCCTAGGCTTAAATGAGATAGTGCATGGAAGTGCCTGGCATAGTGCCTGGCATAATGCCTGGCAAGTATTAAGTGCTGAATAACTGGCAGCTCTTGGCTCAGCACACATTCAGCTGACCTTGGGAGACTGGAGCTGGGGCCCAGCCCCAGGGAAGAATTTAGGGTCCCATGCAGGTTCCAACTGCTGGTTCCTGCACAGTGACTATAAGTCCAGCAATGTGGAGTTTCCCTTGCCTCTGACATTACTAAACTAATACTTGCTTTGCTCTTTCAGACAAAGATGACAAGTCAATTTTAGCATCAGTTACCAAGAGTCTACAGAAGAAATCAAAGTACCTTATGTGAGCTTCAGCCCAGTCCGGGCATTGGGATGTTGTGATGTGGGGCCTCTTGGCCTCTCCTCCGCATGGTCCCAGTCAGGGAAGCCCAGTTTGCTCTCTGGTGCTTGTCAGTGTAAACATTCCGTGAAGGGATGGGACACTAAAATGACCGAACTTACCCTTTCCTGTTCCTGAGGATGGTATACAGCAGAGACCATGGAGGTGGAATGGGGATGCAAAGAGACTGCTGAGAGCCCGGTCCAAACCCACTCTTATAGGGAGGGACCAGTGCCCTTTTGACTGCGCCTTTACCTTCCCCTCCTCTGTGGCCACACTGTGCCCTCCCCTCCTCTCAGGTGGGCCAGTCTTGCCTGATTCACCCTTCTCCCCATCTCCCTCCCTCCCATGTCTTTAGGTAGGTCTATCATCAGAGTTCCAGGGTTTAAAGGGATCAGGACCTTGCCTCTGTAGTGTCCGGGTTTCCCACTCTCTGAGAACTAAAGCATCTTAGAGCTAGAAAGAATTATTCATCCAGCTCTAGGTTTTCAAACTTATGTTTTTGCAGTGCAATCCTTCCTTTAAAAAAATCTTAGGAAGGTCCTGGGCTTGAAACAAAGATAAGGGGCTTTGAGCCTCCCTGTACTTATTCTTTTGCTATCTCCCACCAGAGATTTCTATAAAAAACCCTTTGTTGAAAATCACTGATTCATGCAACACCCACAAGGGACTTGAGTTGCCTTCTATCATATCCCCACAACTGTGCAAGCTCTCCGCTAATGGCGTATTCAACATCACCCAAGGCTTCCCTTTAGAATTCTGGGTCAAAGCACTGCCCATTAAGATGCAAATGTCCCTGGAGTGTGGGGGACACAATATTCTGCCAGGGCTTCACATCAAAAGTATGAATCACCCAGTCTAATCCCCTTCCTCCCAGCTGTTCAACTGAGCCCGAGGCTAAGAAGAGAGAAGATAGTTGAAGGGGATCTGGATCCTTTTGGAGCAGGCAGCAAGTCTGGGGTGAGTCAGGAACGAAGTGGGCAGCAGGACACTGGGTAACTAAGGGTCACCAAAGGTGCTGGGCACCCATGCACAGATGAGGTCATCAGAGACAAATTTGGACGGTGACAAATACTACCCATCCCCCATCCTCCTGAACTACATCCTCACCCATACACATGACCAGGGAAGTGAGACCCATTCCAATCAGCAGTGTTAGCAGAGCCAGGGAGCTGGCCTGGCACCCAGCTGCACTGGCCAGTACGATGACCCAGCCTGCGAGGACATCCAGGGCCCCTGGCTCCATGCCGCTACATCCTTCTCTCCAGGACAGGCATGTGCCACACAGACAAGCAGGGAGTCAATGGCCCCTGGTTTTTATTTTTATTTTTTCATATGAACAGTAAAGGACAGAGTTGTCCGATCTTTGCTCACCTTGCATTGAATGTGCCTCGGGTCTTATGACCCTAGAGTGTCATTGGAGCCCCCGCCCCACCCTTGCTACCAAGGCAGGACTGGCAGGGAGGAAAGAGGTGGGGGTGTGGGTGGGCGTGGGGGTTCCCAGCTCTCCAAGCCAGGCTCAGCACCCCTTCAACAGCTCCCTGAGGCCTCTCCCTATGACTTTAACAGACAGCAGAACAGAGACAGATGGCAGAGAAAAGACAGCCTGGGAGACAGATTGCACACACACAGGACACACAGGCTGGCCCCTTCCTTTGGCATGGTTCACCCTAGCCCTGGGGATAGGGTCTGAGGGTAACAATGTGGGGCCTGAACTCTTGCCTGACCTTTGAGAGAGATGGAACCAACTCGATACCCAAATTCCCAGGCCAAAGGAGTCCCTCTTGCCTACCTGGACAGACACCTTTCCACCCATCACATAGAAACTGAGATTGTTCAAGTAATAAGAATAGATGAGGGAAAGGGAGACTCCACCCCCATCCGATCTTCCCAACTCAGGGTCTTCAAGAGGGGCTTCAAGCCCTGGTACAGATTTCTGCCCTCCCCTTCAACTCTACACAGTCAGAAAGAGTGGGAGTGAGTGAGCCAGACTCTTCCATTTAGTAGGGGAGAGGCGGGGTGTGGTCAAGAAGCTGAGCACCATCACAACCCCAGAGGGGTTTTGACAATCCCAATGGGATAGCGTTGAGGAGATGTCTGCTTCTGGCTCCAGCAAAGAGAGTTAGTCCAGTTCTTTTTAGCTCTCAGCATTGTCCTGGACCACTAGCTTTGCTAGAGAGATCCATTCCTGCTCATCCCCTCAAACTATACATTTTCCAAGTGGTACCTGCTGCCTCAGGCTGGAACTGCAGCCATCCTGAAACAGCTCTTGCAGGTTCCCAGGTTCTGGACCCCAGTCCCAGGAGGAGAGAGGGGTGACCAGACCCTAGCCCCTCAGTTGGCCTTGCTCAGTCTGTAGTCTTCCGCTGGCTCCCGGCTCTCGACAGCTGACAGGGCAATGAACATCTGGGCAGCATAGTAGGTGGACATGATGAGTGCCTGCGAGTAGGGCACGGGAAAGCGGAACTTGTTGACAGCGATGGTCAGGTCTGAGATGATAAAGAGCACTGCGCCGCTGCACGCCGCCAGCTCAGTCCAGCGCCAGGCTGCCTCGACCCAGCGTAGCCCTGCTACAGCCCGCCAGCCCATGAAACTGATAAGGGCCACGTAGGCCCCCACCAAGTAGGTGAAGGCACCTGAGAGGCCCGGATAGAGGAAGCCATATAGCAGGCCCGCCAGCACTGCTATCACCAGACCTGTCCGAAGAGCCAGTGGCCGCATGCCGAAGGCTGAGGCGTAGAGCATGTGGACCACCGCAAACATCAGTAGACCTGGGAGTGAGAGAATGGGGTGGTGCTGAGGGCAGGCTCGGGGGAGCAATGAGCAAGAGGGGCTGGGGGTGGGAGTATTTGGGATAACCCAGGAACTTTGTTTTGGGAAGAACAGGGGTGGGAAGAAATCCACAAAGGTAAAGATCCCCCCCAAACACCCCAACTCCCCTGAGGAACTCCAGATCTGATCACCAGATCACTGGCAAAGTCATCCTCCTACAGGGGCCCCACAGTTATGGTCTCAGAACCCCTCAGGTTCCCAATATTCTTGTCCAAAAGCTCCCACGTCCTTAGCGCTCTAGGACTCTCTAGCCCCCAACCCCAGGATTCCTCCCAGGTAGCTACTGCAGCAACTGACCGTGCACAAAGTAGCCCTGGTCCTGCCAGATGAGGAAGGCATCACCTAGGGCAGAGAAGACGAGCCCCGCAAAGATGCGGATGGCACTGGGGCGGGCCAGCAGGAATCCTAGGCCATGGGCCAGAAGGAAGAGCCAGAGGCAGAAGATGGGCAGGCACTTGATGAGGGCGCTGAACCAAGATGGGCTGGACGAGGGCAGCCAGAGCACAAAGTACACACAGGTGGCCTTGAAGAAGGGCACCAGCTTGGGTCCCTCACTCTTCACCTGGAGGACATAGGACAAGGGCAGCACTCAGAGCTTGGGAGTTCAAAAGGCCACCAGAGAGCTCAGAGCCAGCATCTGCAGCCCAGACATTCACCCCAGAGGCCCAGGCCCACCTCCCAAATGGGAAGGATTGACGCATAGAAACCCGTCTGGCCAGTCCCCCATCAACCAGTGGAATGTGAACAAGCCCGTCACTACCCTGAGGCTTAATTCATTAGGAAAGAGAAGGGCTCCACAGCGCCTGCTGGCCATCTCCATTCTTGGCCCTGGGACAGGACCAGAATGGTCACTTACTAGGCTGAAAACAGTCCTTGGGATTATGTCCCCTCTTGCAACCCAAATGCTTCTCCCTTCCTGCCCCCCTCCAAAACCCCTCTCCAAAACCCCTTTAGGCCCTGTCTACCAGCATCAGCTCTCAGCTGTCTGAATGGAGTGAGGTCATCAGGAAACCACAGAGACGCCACAACTGGCCAACTCGTGATCTTCAGCAGTAAGGCCAGGGCACAGACGCAGGGCCCTGGAAACACCAGGTGACTGCCAGGAATGCGTGAGGTGGTGCACTGCCAACCACCTCAAGCCCCACAGGCTCTCTCTCAGCCAGTCCGCTCCTAAACCTCCACTCCAGCTGCTCCAGGGTAAAGGCAACCATCATGAGTAAAGAGAGTAGATAGGGATACTGGCTAAAGGAATGGACCCACAAGTTAGGAGCAAGAAAACTGTCGCTGAAACACCAGCAATTTCAGGGATCTGAGGGTTGGCGGTGGGTGTCAGTCTCATTTCCCAGACAACAAGAGCAACTGCAGACACATAAGACAGAGGGGCAGGAAGGGGTGGGGGTTCTTTTCCTAGCTTTTGATCTGAAGCCAGCAGAGAGGCTGGGAGAGATGGGGAACTAAGAGAGGGAAGTTAGAGCAGCTGACTCGGTCTCAGCCAGATTAGAGGGGGAGGGCAGCTAAAGAAAGGTTGTGTCCAAGGTCACTAAAGGCACTCTCCAAGCTGAGGGATGGGGGCGGCTGCAGATGTTCGAAATATATGATCCCCTGAAACCTCTTTCCTTGGGCTTCTGGTACAGAGTCTCTAAGAGTTACATGGTGCCCTGTATACCCATACTCTGCCCAAAGTGACTGTGCCTCTGTCTAGGTGAGCTGTCCAGCACAGGGCTCAGGGGACATGCTCAGATTCCCAGACCACCAGTTACCTAGGGACAAATCAGGCTGTGATGAAGGAGGTTGGGAAGAGGAAGATGGGCAGGTCCATGGTCTAAGCCTGCCTTTGCTCTGCTGGGGTCAGAGCTGGGAGAAGAGATGACTAAGTCCTCCCTCTGGAGAGCCCCATGTCCAGGCTGGGCAAGTCAGGGCACAGGCACAGGAAGAGGCTGAAGGAGACGAACAGCTGGCACTGTCCCGGGGACTCCCACCTACCAACCCTTGGAAGCATCGACTTCTGCCAACCTTTGGAAGCATCGACTTCTGCTCCATTCCCCGCCCCAGCCCCGTATGTCCTAGAAGAAATAGACAGTAGTAGCTGGGGACACTTTTGACAGTCATAGAGAACCCAGCACTACAGGAAAAGTGGGGAAAAGAGACAAAGGTTAGAGCTGAAAAAGTCGAAACAGGAAGAGGTGTCAATAGAGAATGGTCCCACTTCCTCCACTGTTATCAAGGATGCTTGGACTCACGGGTGTCCCCTCCTCTCCCGCCCGAGACTTGTTTATACAATGAGGAAGGAAAGGAAACAAATCTGGGACAGGATTCCCAGGAGGGCCCAGTCATCCTACCACCCTCCCTCGCCGCCTCCCACGCCTCCCTGTAGTCTGCCCGCGCAGAACCCGGACGCTCGATCCTGTCCCCTTACCGTCCCCTACAGCAATCCCGCCGACCATCACCAGACACACACAGATCAACAAAGTCACGCTCCGGAGTCACGTGCCCTCTGTGTCCCTCCCTGCCGCTGACCGGCGTGGGGCCCACGGAGGAAGGGCGCCGTGAGTCTGGGGAGCCGGGAGGCCTTGACAGCGACCGCCTCCTGCCCAGGTACGCGGCCACTGCGGGACCCCCTGCCCTTCCCTGGCCCCAAGTGGCTTGGCCTGCTGCAGTGCAGTCCCCAGGCCGGTGGGCTCCGGCCGCGCAGAATATTGGCTCGCTCGCTGGCTCGTTCACTCACCACGGTGACCGGGGACACCATGGCGGCGGCGGCGGCGGCGGCAGCGGTGGCGGCTGGCACCCGGCTCTGGGCTGCAGTGGCCAGGATGTGCCTGTGGTCAGGTGAAGAGGCAACAAGATAACAAAGACCTGGGTGGCGGACAGTACCTCCCGCGCGCTGGGCGCTGGGGGTTCTGTCTGCGATACCCAAAACGTCACCAGAGACCGGGCCAATGAGGTGGCCAGAGTGGGCGGGGGGCGGGGCCAGGCTGGAAGCGCTGGCCAGGCCCCAGGGGGTTTTGCTCCCAGGGGAAGGAAAGCAGAGGAGCCTCCAAGGAATGCGATGCCAAGGTGTCTCAGAACAAAACGTAACTCCAGTTCCTGGGTGATGACCAAGGTTGGGAGAGACACAATCATTCTTGTCCTGAACTCCTAGCCACACACATTTTTCCATAACCCGGGTATAAAAAGCAAAGACAGTTTCCCTTCGCCCTTTAAACATGCAGTCCACATGGACACAGTTAAACCCACAGCCTTTACTGTTTACATACATTCAGTCGGACACACAATGGTCAGCAGACATGCAACTTTTAACATGAAAAGAGACAGCCCATAGACTTATAATCCTAACATATACACAAGCACATACAGAATCACAATTACCTTAGGTACCAGACAAGTACATAGACACAAAACGAACAACCGCAGGTTGACACACATCCTTCAACTTTAAACAAAGACACATATAGGCTGTGCATAGCTGTGATACAACTGCAATAAACGCAAGAACAAACCAGGAATGGTAGGCAGATGGGTAGACCTGAGCATACGTAAAGACCCAAAGGAGGGGGAACTAACTTTGCCAAAAACACAACTTAAGCAGATTTAGTGTTGATATTACACCAACTACAGGTACACAGGCACATTTGGAACTGAGTGTGTTCAGAATCATGGGAATTACATGGGTGCACTGATAGGCAGTCACATGGACTGGGATCTAGTGTCAGCTTTGTCACTTCACCTGTGTGATTGGGCGAATCATTTCTCCACTATTGCCTTGATTTCCTCATATATAAGTGACTTATCTCTAAAGTCCCTCCTCAGCCCAACATGTGTAGGATGGTGTAAGGATTCAGAAGAGGCTTCCCCAAAATGTGCCACTGTGGCATGTGAATTATTTTGAGCTGAAGGCAATAAAAACCATGCAGGCCCATGAGAAACTTTTACCTCTCTTTTAAAGAACTTAAATTAGGGGCCTTGCCCATATAAAAGTTATTACCAGAAATAACTTTTTATGACCGATCTATAGGGCCAGGCAATCTTTTAATTTCTAAACATCTGCTCTTCTTATCATCCTGCAATGACCTCTTGAAGCTCCCAAGGCACCTTACCTCATCTTTGGCTCAGAATGTCATGTCTACCTCATTTTAACTTTCTGTCCCTGAACCTCTCATATATGTGGATTCTTTGAGGCTCCTCCTCAAGCTAAAATAAAACTATGTATCCAAAGGAAAAGATGCAAATTAGGAAGATGTAGTTAGACAGATTGATCAACCTATAATGTCACTTATTACAATTTTGAGAGCTATTGTTCTTATTTTACCAGAATATACCAGAATACAGCTCTAGAAGCAGTTCAAAGTCCAAGTACATTTATGAGTCCTGATTCAAAAAAAGAAAAACAAGTTTTTGTTTTGTTTTGCTTTTTTAAAACACAAATGGGTTCTCTGACTCCAAGACTCCCTCACAAGGACAAATACAAATAAATCTTCATTGTTGTCTCCACAAAAGCTAAAAAGAAAAAGCTTTCACCATCAAAGAAGGTAAACTTAATGTATTCCATGTGCCAGAAACACAATTTGGATGCAACTTTTACAGTCTCTTACATTATCATACCCATAGTGTGGCAGTAATTTTAAGATGAAGGCTAAGAGTTCGCTGTGTCTGTCTGTCTGTCTGTTCATGTGTGTCGTGTGGTCTTTTCTACCTTGGGATGCTATTGTTAATTTATGAAAGAGCTCTGTTTAATTGGCTTACACAAATAAGCACTTACATAAGAATTCTCAAAAATATAACAGAAACTAACCCAAATGCTCTTCAGAATCACATGATCGATGAAAATATTTGATATTAAAGCTCGTTTGAGTTTGGCATGTCTTTAAGTTATCAATATTAAGTACAGCACATAACAAAAGTAGGTGGACAGTTGTGTGTGAAACAGTTCATTCTTGTATTATAATTTATTAATTATTGTATTATTTTCCATATGAACAACTGTATATCTACTTTTTCCCCCTCCCCCTCCCATATTGTATGTGTACTTAAATATGATTTCCTAAAGCTTTCCTGGTAATTTGAAACTTTAGCATTGTGCTAGGTTACATGATAAGTCAAGTTCAGTTCACTGAATGGCTAAATCATTTCCAAATAAGATAAAATAATAAATCATTAATTACTGAACATAGGTTTATCTACTTTTGCTTCTTATTATAGAGAAACTAAAGACATTTGGGTCTATTAGAAAACATGTCCTGTGCCACATTTGAAAAAATTGTGCTATAAAAAATATATATTTTTTTAGAAATTATGAAATGTATTCAAAAATTTATCAGTCTAAAAGAATACTTGTGTAACAGACAATTCATAGTTGCTTACTTTTTAGTTTTTACTAGAAATTAAGGTTTTTAAAAGTTAAGAATTCTATGTGAAAGTACAAAATGCAACAGACTTTAACAGCCTTAACTGAGAAAAGGAAGGTAGTTCGTAGGTAAATTTATAGGGTTCTAACCTTAGGATAGTAAAAATGTAGAAAGACCATGCTGGCTTCTGGGGTAGCAGTTTCTTCAGCCTCTAAATCTAAGTTTTGAAAAAGAGGTTAGCATTAAGCATCTTTACCTTCATGGATAAGCTTTAGCTTGCTCTTGCCCAGAGAAGAGTGCTTGAGTTACAGAAGGCATTATTAGTTTAAAGAATTCAGCCTTTTTGTAAATTGCCAGATATCAAAAATAGATTTTGATATAGAAATGAGTTTTGTGAGATGACACTGCCCCTATTTCTATAACTGTTTTACCTGGACTTTCTCATTAGTCCTATGACTGTATCCCTAAATGTGTTTATTAAAAACCGAATAGCTGCCTCATAACAAGTGCATGTTATTTAAGGAGGAAAAAATATTAAATTTTGAACTGAGTGTGTAGGCTCCCTATCATTACAGTGATTCTTTTTCACACTTGTCAATGTCTTTAACTTAAATTGTAAGTGTTCGTAAAGGGTAATTGTCCTACATCAAACTTACATTAAATAATTCCATCCACTCTTGAGGAGGAGGAAGATGTGCAAAAGGTAGAGCCTGGACATTAATTCATATGCCTGTGATTCATAGGGACTGAAATAATGTCCCATGTTGAGTTGGTTTTTCTGAAATATTCAAAAAAATACTAAGCTAAAACAGTTCTATTAACTGGATGATCACATACCTATCATTTTTTCCAGGACAGATAGTTTTTGCTGTGGGGTGAATAGGTAAAAATTATACTGTATGGCAATTGCATTTAGGTTCTAAAGACAAAAATATGCAGAGAAATCTGTGCAATATATAATTTGCCCAGATTAGTTTTTATTTGTGGAAAGAAGTTCTCAAATATCCCCAAAGAAGGTTACTCATCAATTGAAAGTCCTCCAAAAAGGGAACTATTGGGAACCATGTTACGTGAGGTGAAAAAGAAAAGCTCCCTCAGTTTTTTGGAGGAAATAACTTTAAAATACTAAATAACTAAGTTTACTTGGTGCAGTTAATCTTGTTAATTTCAACATCGCTGTTATATCTGAAATAAACTTACGTGATAAGTTCTGGTAGTAAAAAAAAAGTGAAGAATTCTAATATACGTAATTAAAGCTAAAAAAAATCAATGATAATAGGGAAAACAACTGTATATATCAGAAAAATAGGATATGTTTTGGCTTGGGGAAAAACCAGGCATGAGGTACGGGGAAGTGTTTTCATTGGGGAAATAAAGTAATTTTGTCCGGATTATTTGTGAACTGGGTAAGAGAAGAAGGTACAAACTAGAAAGTTGTAGAAAGTTTATGAAAAAGAATCCTGAGAGAGGAAATTTTGTGTGATCAAGCTGGATAAGAGTGAATGGATCCATAGCAATCCAGAGCAAACTTCCCCAAAATGCGCCCTTTTGGCATGTAAATGATTTGGAGCTGAAGGCAATCAATACCCCTCAGGCACATGAGAAACGTCTACCTCTCTCTTAAAGAATTTAAATTAGGGGCCTTGCTCACAATAGAAGTTATCACCAGAAATAACTTTTTGTGGCCTATGTATACAGCAGAGCAAACTTTTAATTTCTAAATAACCTGTTCTTATCGTCCTGCAATGACCCTTTGAAGCCCCGCCATGGCACTTCACCTCATTCTTAGCCATATACACCTCATTTTAACTTTTTGCCCTGGAATCTCTCAAGTATGTGGGGTGTCTGACTCTCTCATGTAAGTTGGGTTTTTCATGCCTACGTATAGTATTAAAACCGGTTATTTTTCCCTTGTTAATCTGTCTCATGTCTACTTGATTTTTAGACCAGCCAAAAGAGCCTTGAGGATAGAGGAAAGTTTCTTTCTCCCCCATAATGGGGAAGGGGAAGGGCTGCTGGTTGCAGGAAAGTTTAAGCTTAAGAAGCTTCCCCAAGATGGAGATTTCAGATACAGAATAAATGATGGGCCAGTGGTCTTTGATCCGCAATCAGAGGGAAGTAGCTGGTTGGGAAT